AACCGAATTCAACGCATCGAAAACGAAGTCGTACACGTATCAGTACGGGACGCGCCAATGAGTGGAAGCACCCGTGCTGCATATGTGTTGTCAGTTTCAGCAAGGGACGCGCCAATGAGTGCTGTTGGCGAGTAGAGTTAACCGATCTCAAAAAGAAAGAACAAAAACGCCGTACACGTATCAGTACGGGACGCGCCAATGAGTGGGCGCACCCGTGCTGTTGGGCGAGTAGAATTAACCGATCTCCACGCATCGAAAACGAAGTCATACACGTATCAGTACGGGACGCGCCAATGAGTGGAAGCACCCGTGCTCATATGTGTTGTCAGTTTCAGCAAGGGACGCGCCAATGAGTGGAAGCACCCGCGCTGCGTACAAGTATCATCAGTGCGGGTCGCGCCAATGAGTGGAAGCACCCGTGCTGCATATGTGTTGTCAGTTTCAGCGAGGGACGCGCCAATGAGTGGAAGCACCCGCGCTGTTGGCAAGTGGAGTTCACCGTATCCAACGCATCGGAAAAAAAAAAAAAAACACGTATCAGCACGGGACGCGCCAATGAGTGGAAGCACCCGTGCCGATGGCGAACCGGGGTTCACCGAATCCAAGAAAATATATATATAAAAAAAAAAAAAAGAGAAACCATCGCTAGTGTTCCAAAGAGAGAAATATTCGGGATTGGTCGACGTCCGGTGACCGTAGCGTCAGCAGCAATAATCACTCCATTCAATCCACAGGCGTCGAGAATGAACTAACGCGAGCTCGCGATATAACAACGCGTCGTTCTGGGCCCGACGAAAACCCACGTCAGATAGTTTCGCCCGAAGATAGGATTTGTAGACCATTCTAACTGCAGATCCAGGCGCGCGATCGACTACGCCCACGATGAAGAGGAAAAGAAGTGTTCCCGCAACGCCGCCCTGACGCTCGCCCGCCGCCTGCCGCCGGTCCGCTGCTTATACGACTCCAACCGCGACCAGATGCCGACACGGGCCTCCACGCGGAGCGGCAGGGCAGCGGCTGGGCAAGCAGGGCGAGGTCGGGCGGCGACACCTTCGACACCACGCACGAGAGGTCTACCGCGCGATCGGTGGCGAGCTCGACGGCTCGCCCCTCGACGCGCAGCGGATCACGTACTCCCGCGAGGCGTCGAGCGGTATCCTCCTCGCGAGCGCCAGGGACAGGCACCCGCGGCGACCCCCCCGCTGATGAGACTGAGCTCGCTTCTCTCCGCGGGCTGGTGGACGGCCTGAGGGAGGAGCTGCAGCGGAAGCGCGATGAGGCTGCCGGTGATCGCCAGCAGCTTCAAGCAACGATCGACGACCTGATCGCCACCCAAGCAGCAGGACCTGGCCTTCCGGGGGGGGGTGCAACTTGTGGGCACAACCGCCCCACCATCGGCCTCTCGGGCCCCCGCTACACCCAGCGCCGAGGCGGCTAAGGCTACGGCAAAGGATAGAGCGCGGATGTGGGGGGACCTCCGCCGGGTAAAAGCGTGGCTCATCCTGGGGCGGCCCCCGGCAGTTTCAAAACTGTCGCAGATGGAGTGGCAATCCTTGCTTCGCAAAGGCGTCCTGGTGACAGAGAAAGTGGCGGCATCGCTCGACACGCTCGTGGTTACTGCTTCGCCTTCAACTCGTCGTCCGGTTGCCATGATCGTAACTGCCCACACATCCACGCCCAGAACCCTTCCCACGCTAGGCGGGGAGCGTCCGAAACTCCGGCAACCGGCGCGCGCGGCGTTGGCCACGGCAACGGGGGAGGGCGCGGAGGAGAGGCGCGCGCCGCTGGCGAGGGCGGCGCGAGACCCAAGGCCGCTGGCTTCTTCACCCACGGGAAAGACAAATAGGGGTGCGGGCTCTCCCGCGTAGCGGGGGGGCCTACCTCGGATGGCAGCGCACCTGCGGCTAAATCGAACGGCAGCACGCCGGTCTACACGAGGTTGGCTCCAGGGCTATCAGCAGGTTCAGGACCTGGGACAGGCAGGACGGGACTTTGTTACCGACGTCTTGGCATGCAGCTCGTCGAGCACTCAGTTGCGTCTTCGTCTAGAAGGACTTACACGTCAGGCTTCAACTCTTGGTGCACGTTTCGCAGGCTGACGGAGAAGCCCAAGTTCCTAGGGCAACGTGCCGGGGACCTTCATGTGTGGGAGTTGATAGACTTCGTAGCCTGGTGTTTCGAGTCTGAGGGTAATCTAGCGAGTACAATATCCGGAAAACTCACGGCTGTACAACATTTTCATAGGCTGGAAGCTTCTGTCGAGCTAGACTTGTCGTCTCCGATGTTGAAATGTGCGCTAAGGGGGATTGCGAGGAACCACGTGGCTGTGGGGACGGTACGCCGTGTGCGCCTGCCTGTGTCTTGGCGTATGCTGCTGGACGGGGAAAGCGCAAGCCAGAACTGGGGGGAAGGGGGCAGAGTGATGTGGCTGTGTCTGTGCTTGTCCTATCTCTTTATCACACGGTCTGATGAGGTGTTCGCGAATGATGCGGGCAGGGTGCATGAGGCACACTGTCTTACGAGGGCGGACGTAGCATTGTTTGCTGGCGAGACGCAATTAGTCTTTAGTCACTATCGTAGAGCAGACCGTGTCGAAATGAGGTTTAGAGGGCACAAGGCCGATCAAGAGCAGAAAGGAAACATACGGGTTCGTACGCGAGACGAAGTCACCGGACCGCAGTCAGGTGTGAGAGCACGCGGTGGCGCGGTGGCTCTTGTGGTGGAGCTGTTATCGTGTCATGCGACGTTCCCTGACTCCGCACCGTTGGCTTCGTACCGTAGTGGAAGAGCAGTGAGAGTAGTGAGGTATACTGCTGCCCTCCGTGCACTCAGAGAAGTGGTAGCGAGGTCGGGGCGTAACCCCCAGGAGTACGCGTTGCAATCGTTGCGAATTGGAGGCGCGACGGCTCTTGCATCGGGCGGAGACATCGCAGAACGAGTGATTCAGAGAGAAGGGAAGTGGAGGTCGGATGCATACAAGCCGTACGCGCGAAACAATGTAGAGGATTCGCGGCGAGTGTCACGGAAACTTACAGACGGCAGTAGGATCGTATCGAGACAGCCGGGGGAGGGGACCGTCTGGGGGAACGGATAGTTGACTTATTCGGTAGTCGTCCAGAAACTGACCTCGATGTGGGTGTTGTAGAATGGTGTGTACCATTTGAGGACTTGGTCAGTTTTGGGACTCCTGCGTTTGCAGTCGTAGTCCCCCGGCTAGTATTTGTGGGGAGAGAGATGGATTTGTAAGAGTTGACGCCGGCCTTTGCAGCTAACGCGGCCGGAGAGACGATGAGCGTTTCGTGCGTCTCTCTCCCCAACACGTAGCCTAGAAACCGAAGAAATAATGAAGCAATTCGAAAGAAAACAAAATAAAAGGAAGGTTTGTTCGTCGAAGCAGATAGAATAAACTGGTGTTTATTTTGTAACAGTCGAATTAGAATTTGGCTTCATTTTCTACCGGAAACCCAGGGTCACGGTGTTTGGAATTATTAGTCTATAGTTGGGGGTGTCATTCCGTGATCGAGTCCACGCAGGGGCTGTAGCAAAGTCGGGTAACGTGTGACAGCTACAGAGCGCGTGAAGCAACGGAAGGACAGCAGCAGCCGCCTAACGCAGTAGCGGCGGCAGTTTAGAAAATCCCGCCCTCCCATCCCTTTTCTTTCGAAGGTGGGGGCATAAGTTCGGGAATATTCGGTATCTAGTCAGGTGTTGTAGAATGGTGTGTACCATTTGAGGACTTGGTCAGTTTTGGGACTCCTGCGTTTGCAGTCGTAGTCCCCCGGCTAGTATTTGTGGGGAGAGAGATGGATTTGTAAGAGTTGACGCCGGCCTTTGCAGCTAACGCGGCCGGAGAGACGATGAGCGTTTCGTGCGTCTCTCTCCCCAACACGTAGCCTAGAAACCGAAGAAATAATGAAGCAATTCGAAAGAAAACAAAATAAAACACCTCTTTTTCCTTACTGACCATTTTCTCGGGAGTTCTGAAGTGAAGTTAATATTTTCGCGGGAGGGGATGAAACCTGATCATCCCTTGTCTTTATAAGTTTTCCTTGGCCGCCTATCCTATCCGAGCATGATAGAAAAATAATCATGCAAGGATTCGACTTCCAAGTGCCGCAAATAACAAACAGATCATATATTTGGCCCATCCCAACCGATCTTATATTACGGTCCAGAGGGAGTACAATTTCCCATTGCTCCCCCAAGCTATTTCAACTGTAGTACTCGGTACTACCGTACACAGACATGCTTCTCCTCTCGACCATTTCAACTACATAGTACCAGGTACTACCATACACAGACATGTTACTGCTCTCGACGTTTCACTTCTCGATACACCTACACGAGTATTGTCTCCCCACACCATTTTCGCGGGCGGCAGCACCAACAACAAACACGCGACAGCCTCGATATACTCAAAATCCCGTGTACCGGGAGAGGAGAGGTGTTGCCTGGCCTGTCCCAGTGCCATATTTTCCCCCCGACACTATTTCCGTTCATCGTGTATTGGATGACTCGACTACAACTTGTGGCCGTCGTTCGTTGGCTGGGTTGCTGTACGAATGTCAAGTGGAACTCGTTGGGCCACCTCTGTTTTTCTCCGGCTCGCCATTATTTTGATTTCTCCCACCAGCCTCGCTTCGCGGGCATGCGTAGCTTCCGGGTCCAGCACGCCGGCAACGAGGTCGACCACGGGAGCGTTGGAAAGCCCTGTCGCTACAGCGCTCGCGCGAGCTGCTGCATCTACCACGCGATCAACTTGTTTTCTTCGTCTGCGAGTTGAGGCAACAATCTCTCCATCCGCGGTATCTTGCTTCGGCCATGAATTGGGAGGAGCGTTGTTCCGATTTCCTGCCAAAGCTTTTGGGTACAGCGGGGATGGTGCTGTGGGGAGCGCTGCGCCGCCACATGCACCAGCTTGTTGCAGAACAATGAGGCTTGCAGCAAGATGCATATTCACGGCCGCACCGTCTACGCCCTGCCCGTTGGCCTCCACTTCCATGTACCTGCAGCGAGTGGCGGCGACGACGGTAAGATGCTGGAAGACGGATTGTTGATGTCCTCGCCAAACGTACTACACTAGGCGTTCGAAAACCATGGCGTTTTCAAGCGCGAATTCTTGTATTATTGGCGACAAAACACGTATTCGAATAACGTCCACAAATGTAGAGCTAGAGGAGCGGTATGGTGACCGCAAGCTACCATCGTAGGTACATACATTGTAGTGTTGCAGCGATAGTGGTGGAAGGAGTCGATATAAGCGGGCGACGCGCGGAAACTCGCGTACCATGTTGTTGATTGCCTATCTCACTGAGCGACATATCGCACAAGGAATAAATGTGCACGTGAAGGATCTCGTGACCTGGACTGTAAATCTGCAGTGGTTTGGATCTACCTGCACCATCACATATGACACACCAGTATATTCACCTTGTTAAACGTTCACTGATCAATTCAACTTCAGGTTCAGGTTCAGAGAGGGCACCAGAACCCGAAGCGACGCCGAGAAGTTCCTTGACGATCTCAGTTCGACAAGAAACCATCGCCAGGTCCCTACCGGATACTGAACTCCCCGTTGCCGATGTCGCTTCTGCTGTCTCTATGCACGCAGAAGCTGGACGCCACCAAATCACGGTGCTTTCACCCATAACGAAACTTCGTTGGTCGTCTCGTGCTCGTCTCTCGGAGGAGGCGGTGGACAAAAGGATGACGCGGAAGCTCTTGTGTGGTACGGGTAACGGGCGTCTGCGGTGTGGGTCAAGAAAACCATTGGAAGACCGTAACGTCATGCGGCGGTGGATGGCGTGTTCTTGGTTTCAACTTTTGTTACGGATGCCAGGCAATAGTTCTTTCGATCATCACATCCTAAACGCACGGCTTCGTTGAGATCAAGCAAGCCATTCAAAATACGTCGAATGTTGCTTCATTGTGACACGTGAAAGGTGTGAGAAATCAAACAACATTTGGTTTTTTTCCGATACACGCTCAACAGTACTACTGTACGTTAGTCGAAAGATGTCTCCTCACCGGAGCGCTGCGGCAACAACGGGTTGCACCCTGGCACTCATGGAGCCCCCTTCCCCGCCCGACAGCGCCTTCAGTAGAGGGAAGTCTGGGCACATTTTGAACGAAACCTCGTTGCTGCTTCGTGGTACCCCCGGCCTCACTAACGACCTTGTCATGGCACTCCCTTGCCGCTCTCCCGCCCGCACCGCACCAGCACCCCGCGATTCCCCTTCCAGACCATGGTGAGGAAATGAACCGTCTTTGCGATCACCGAGATTTGTTCTGGGGCTGGTGCTCGTCCTCCTCATCTTCACCAACGCTTGTTGTTCCCGCTGAACCTTTTCTTGCTCCTCGGCCGCAGCGATCGAGGCATTTCTCACCGCCGAGTGGCGGCGAATACCATCCACGATCAATGCAAGACTTTCAGCTGCCCCCCCAAAGTCTTTCATGACGACCCATCCTCCTTCGGTGGACGCTTTCAGGCAGACGTCCCACGCCGATTGTGTCTAGCCATGTTTTGCACGTCCCGGGGCATGATACAACTCATTAGGGTTGGTACCACTGGGTAGGCAGCCGATTTAGGAGCTTTTGCCCGCAGTAGGAGGTGTTAATGCAATGGCTAAGTGCACGAAAGTTAGGGTGACTCAACCGGCTCCAGGTCGGTGATAGAACAGAAGACACGGCCAGGAAAGCATGGGTGGGACCATAGGCCGGAGCTGGAGGCTTCACCCAAAATCCAATACTTGCATTAAATGATCCTTGGCCAAGAGAAACATTACAACATTGTCTTCGCACTTGCGGGGGTAGAGAGCTAAGGGCAAGACTACAAAAGAGGAAAGTAAGCATCATGAGTGCCGTGTTTAGTCGGGAAAAAGATGTTTCCTCGAAACCGAGCTACCGCGTTTGATTTTTACAGCGCACATCGAGGAAACAATAGCTTCTGGAAAAAATAAAGTCCTGCGCACGCCTGTGCAACGCGAAGTTTTGTCTTTCCCCGTTCCCAGGGAATATCGAGATTTCTCAACCACCGTTAGGGTTGGAGCAAGGCTGAGAGCTAATGGGACAAAGAGCTTCGTCGCACCATGTTTGCAGTTGAAAGACCACCGTTGATGGCAACCGCAGCGGGATTGCCCCTCCCCCGCGCCCTAGAGTGCCCTGTTTGCTGCCCCCGCGCCTGTCCCACGAGAACTCCCCGCGATAGGAGCGCATGTGCTGGTTTGGACGCGTCGTGGACAGTTACGGTGGTTCCTGCCTCTTTCGCGGCGCATTCGATATTAGAAAGCACGCTGACGAAGTGACGGCTGACAGCTTCTGTAATATCGCCACCTGCCGGGACCATTACCTGCCACGCGGGTGTGTTTACGGACAGAAGGATCACAACCAAACACACGTTTAGAGAGGAAATTGCTTTACGTTTCAAATGAGAGAGGCCGGCAAATGCGCACAGCAATAGGGAACAGTTGGCACGACACACGCGGCTTTCGTGCTTGCCCCCACTGAAACAGGCAGTGTTGGGCATTTTCTTCTTCAAAGAAATGAAACGGGCAGCTGCAGATTGGTATCTGCGACAGTCCAGGAAACCAAAACCTTTTGCTGAGCAGCTCGTCAAGAGCGACTCACTCATCAGCAGTTTTACGCACCACGACAGGGGCCCATGGACGTGAGTTTACGAGCACTTGCTGGATCCGACCCCGCTGAGAAATGCAGAGAGCACATTCGCGTTTGAGCTCCCGCCACAGGCTAGATCTCTGCAGGTTGTCCCTACCACCCTCCGCCAATATACAGGCCGCCGCACACTGGGCTGCGAGTGGTCCATCGGGTGCTAGTGCTAGCAGCAGCACGATTCCGATCAATGGAGACTCATTCCATCTCTGTGGCCATAATCCAAGCTCTTCCGGTAGAACCTCTAGAGCCTGGCGCCGCTTCTTTTTTCCCTGAAGCATTGCCGAGAAGGCTACCACGCGGACGCCAGGGCTACTGTCAATATTTCCCTTCCGGCGAGAGGCGTTGAGGTTTTCCCACCGCTCCATTGTTTCTTTGTTGCTATTGACAACAGGGGTCGAACCAGGACACACGTTTGGGTTTGTCCGAATGTGAGAAAGTGGACAAAACGAGTACGTGACAACAGGATGAGGCAAGTAGAAAGGAGCGCAGGATACATGGCACAGCTCCTTCCTGTGATTTCTATGCGGGAGAAGATCCACGAGGCTCCGTGTGGACTATATAGTTCGAACGTGTTGCGGATGTCGACTTGGGGAATCACGTACATGAAAAAATGCGACAGGATCACCCATGCTCGTTGAAGGGGACCAAAACGCGGGCATTACACACATTCCCTCTCGCACCTCAAGTTTCCTGTTGCAGAAAACACCTTGGCTACTGTCACTGAGTCCTCTACGGTGGATGTTGACTGTGGAGGACTGCAGATGGAAGACCGCTCGGGCGAAGCCCCGAGCCCGGCGGGCGTGGCGGATCCATCTTGATCAACCGTCTGAGGGGAGCTGGCAACCGGTGACGAGACTGCCTCAGAGGTCATCTGCTGTTGTATCATTGGGTTCTTGGCGGTTTTGTCTTCTGGATGTGTCGCCATCGATGCCATGTCATCTTCCACGACGGTCGTCGTTGATACCGATGCTGTCGACTGTTCGGCCACTACGAGGGCAACGGTATTCTTGGCGTCCGTCGATGTTTCCAGGGGAGCGGGGACGGGCTTCTCTTCCTTGTGCCAGTCGCTGTCGTCTCTTTGAGGCCGGAATGTTTCCGCGACAAACGTGATAAATTTTGATTCTTCGTCTTCGCCGGTGTCGAAATCCTCGTGGGTGCTGACGTTCAACAAATCTGGCGTCGTCCCCGCCGTTGCTGGCGTGCCTACGTTCTCGGTATGACTAAAACGAAGGCTCCCATCGCTGTCCGCATCTACACCATTCGCAGCAGCGGAAGAGGGCAGCTTCTTGGCGGAGGCCACCCCTCTTAACCTCGATGTGGAGATGCCGAAGAGACTGCTGGCACGGGCGGTGAATTCCTTACCAGTCTCCGCCGACGGAATATCATCGCTCTGCTCACTTCCGACAGCGATGCCAAGCCCATCTGCAAGGCCAAGTTTGATCTTCATCCGCTCGCGTGAATCTCGACGGACTTTACTGTGAGGGGCACCCGCCCCGGGTGCTTCCCGGTGCTTGAGTTCGCCAGAAAAAGCGGCATCGGTTTCGGAACAAATGTCATCATTTGCGGTTTCCGAAATTGGACCCCTCTTTGCCTTTTCCTCGTCTATCGCTTCGTCAATCCCAATCTCCCCACTAGCGCTGCTGTTGCTGCCACTGTCACTGTCGCCGCCGTTATTGTCGGTAGAAGTCGAAGAACTAGACGAATTCGCGTCACCCACACTGTGTTTCGACTCAAACACTGGAGGGGGGTGTGACAACAAGAAGCGGAGCCAGCCTATGGACGCGTTGTTTCCGCAGCCTTCCCGCACTGAGCTCAGGGAGCGACACACCTCGCTGATCCATTCCGACCACTTACTGGCCTCGCACAACACAAAACCCGGCAGGCGGGCAAAGACGCTGTTCATGGTGGCCTCTAGAAGCACAAGACGGCGCAGCACGCCATCGCCGCTGAACGCCTTGGCTTGCGCCGCCTGGGTGGCATTCATCTTGGATCGATCGCTCACGGCCGCCGTCCACAGGCTTGAAAGGGAAAAGCAGAAAGAGTCGAAGTTTCCGGAACCACGCTCATCGGGGCCATCGACACCATCCTCGATCCCGAAAGGGGTACCTTGATTCCTTTTGTATGAAGCAGCCGCCGCGGCACCTCGATCTCGAGCCCAGTCAGAGGTGTCAAACCCTAAATCCCACTGCTGAGGTGACAGGGTAATTCCATGGTGGATGGTTTCATCGCCGTCGCTTTCTTCGTCATCGCCGGTTTCGCGAATACACTCGTGCAAATGATCGTCATTCACCATTGTCACTTTCGGTACCTCACTATCGTGGTGCTCACGCCACGAATTGACAACGGCTTGAACCCTATATAATCCCTGGGTGGCAGACTCGACCTGGCCAGCACCCAGTGCATGGACTTCCAGATGGCAGGGGTCTCCGTCGGGGCTACGGTTTGACTCAAGTGCGATGCCCGCATGATTGTCACCGGCTCCGGCCTTTTCTGCTGCCGTAACCATTTTGAAAAGCTTCGCAAGTGATATTCGGCTGAAATGTCCACTCGATTCTTCGCTCCCCCGGTGTCGATCAGCAACGAGCGTACCGAAAGCATCCCACCATCCTTTTGCTGGGAAGTCGTCAGGGTTGTTGACGGCCAAGGCTGCCAGCGGAACGATCCACGTGCAGTCGCTTGGGACTCTTGTAATCATACTTCGCGTCAGACTGCCCACAACGACGCGCTCCAAGTCTCCCTCGCGGTCCTGATTTGGCGGCCTCATCGTGCCGGCGGCTCTGCGGATGGCGCTGTGTACCAGAGCTCTAACTCCGGGGAAGACCGGGCTGTAGAAGACAGGGTCTGATCCGCAGGCGTGAAGAACATCTCCACTTCGGGCAAGAAACTGAAGGGCGGATGAAGTCAGGCGGTATGCTACCTGTTCGTCCTTGCGGGCGGCCTCCGCATGCTGCGCTTGTGAGGCTCGCTCGCACCGTGACACCGTGTCGGGTCCCTTTTCGAGTGTGCTCTTGTATGCGAATAGCGTCTCGATCAGGTTGTTGAGGACCCTGTTCTGGTCGCGTTCGACGTCGTCGCTCACTCCACTCGGCGGTTCTCCACCCGATGGAACAGTGGGGTCAGGGGTTCGGCGTGGCACGTCTGGAGTGAAGCACGGCGGTCTGGCCGCGAGAAGTGTAATCACGGCCTCATGAGTAGCGCTGAGCTGGCACGAGTAAGCAAGAGCCTCCTTTTGGACAATCGAAAAGGCCGCTCTCGATGTTCTCACCTGACGTTCATCTGATCCCCTCGCCTCGAGAGCGGGTGGAAGCGCTCGCACCATCTCGTCCTGAAGCCTACCACCCATCGTCTTCGACATCTCGAGCCCCGGCTGGCATCTCAGTCCCATGCCGCCTGTCACGAATGGGGGAATTGTGGCGTCCTCACTCTCCTTGGATCCGCTGTTGCTCGACTCGTTGTCATCGGAAGGGGCGGATAACCCCGATATGCCCTCTCCTGCAGCAAGTCCCTGACTTGTCCCGTCCGAGGAAGATTCACAACCCTTAGTGTCCAACGAACAGCCGCCGCCATCGTCTCCAGCCGCCAAGCCCACAGAGTCTACGCCTCCGAATCGAATCAGTTGAACACCAGAGAGGGCCTCCGGCGAGTCTTCCAAGAACACCATCGATGTCACGTCGTCAGAGGATTTTAAGGGCTGGGGGTTTGCAAAGTCGAGAGATCTCGCGAAAAGAATCAGTCGAAACCCCATTTTTACCACGAATGTGGTGGAGGACTGCGGCTCTTCACCGACCGTTACAGAACCAAAACACTCGCTACTTCCACCGCCGTTACCGAACGCGTTGGACTCTGGCTTGCCGTCTTGCTTCCTCCTTGGTGGCTTTTTGTGTCCCGCTGCTTCGACTGGAAGCACGTTGGACCCGAGGAACAACGCCAAATCGATGTGAACCCCTCCCTCCGTGGAGCAAACCGGTAGGATTTCCCCCTTCGCCGCGCACGCTGCAATGATGTCCATGCTGACCATAGAGGCGGGCAAGAGAGCTTCCAGTCGAGAGTTTCCTGGGTAGACGCGCCGAAGCCATCTGTACATGCCACGTGGATATTTCATTGCGAACGTGGTGGACCCGAAGCTGATTTCGAGGGATGACCTCCCATGTTGTTGTGCGATATAGAGATAGGTCGAGGATTCAACAGAGAGGCAGAACTGTTTCCAAAGCATCTAGAAGGAGGACAAAGGAGGTGAAGAAGCAAACGGTTCGCCTCCCATGACCTTCGGGGGGGGGGGGGGGGGGTACTCATAGTCGTGCATGCCGTAGTCCTTTGACCATTGACCTCGCATCCCTACAAAGCCGGGACGGAGCACGCCGGGTTCTCACCGGACCAGGGTCTCACATCACCAAGCGCGAAGCGCCGTGAGGTATTTGGCGAGTCGCATGAAGGGTGAGCTGCCATCCTGCTAAGGGTATTCGGCATCTTGTGCTTACTTCCTTGCGTACGGATGACAGCTACGTATAACTTAATTTATTTTCTGGTGCTTTCACTTCCAGAGACAGTTGTAAGCACTGTGTAACTGCCTCTAGGAAGCTTGACCATTTTAACACAACGTGGTGCGATCATCCCCCGTTGCGCGGAGTGAGGGTTCTCGACCCCGCACAACATGATCTACTCGACCACCATTATGGTTACCGCCAAAAAAAAAACCGAGGTAAAAAAAAAAAAAAACGGTAACCTGGTTGCCGAGTTCACGAAGTGAATTGGCTTGTTTTACAACGTCGTTGCCAAGCGACGAAAACCCAATCCCGATGGCAAACACCGAGTGGGGGGCTTGTTTTACAACGTCGTTGCCAAGCGACGAAAACCCAAACCCCGATGGCAAACACCGGGGGGGGGCGGCTTGTTTTACAACGTCGTTGCCAAGCGACGAAAACCCAACCCCGATGACAAACACCGGGGTGGGGGGGGGGGTGATACGTATGGCGATGCGGCGTAAGCAAGGCGGTGTCGGTCGCATTCTGCGAAAGTGATGAATTTGAGCCCATACGTTAAACCATGCCGGTTGCAAGTTCTAGACACAAGGTTTCGGAACCTGTCACAATCTCTCGATGCCGTCAAGATTTGGCTTACCATCCTGGCTGTTGTGGTTGATCCAAACACTCATATTTCTGGGAACTTCGAGGCCATCATCGTAGTTGAAAAGCATACACCCGTTACCTGAGAGCGATGCCTTCTGGATCCAAAATAAGGGGCCACTTGGGCGTGCTCAGGGTCAATATTGCGGCGTCCATGAAGGCCGGGTGAAACGGCAGAGAGGAGGGGGTGACAGCACCCGCACACTTTCCGGGACTGGCGTCGGAATCATCGCCCCCTCCCCCACGACCGCCGTCGGATTCATCGCCAGACTCCTCACCACAGTCGTCTGCGACATCGACATCGGGAGGATACGTCCAGCTTTGCAGTTGCGTCACGTTGGTCAACACGCCCGATGCGAAATTTCCAACGCGATACCGTTCCAAGCTGAGAGCACTTGTGACGGAGAGCGCACTCTCGCCAGTCTTTGGTTTCGGAACATCGTCGATGTTTGACTCCTGGTTCGGAACAGGTGTTGATGCCGCTGCTGGCTCTTCGTCCTTCGATGCCTCCGCCCACGGACGGCTGGTGGGTATGCCGCATCTTCGGGCCGCGTCCCTTGCTCTGTCTAAGGCGATAGCCCGCAGGGTGTGTGGGAGATGGGCTCCAAGGCAGGCCATGTTGGCGAAGCAGAGGGCATCTCCCGCGAAAAGCTCGGCGGTTGTCGCCAAATCATGGAGTTCCTGTGTCATTGGTCGGTACACTCCGTCAACGTTGCAACCTTTGCCAAACACTTATGGCTAGTACATGGTTCTTGTGTTGATAACTCTACATAACGTGCCCAAGGTGACCTGCACAGCAACGTATAGAAATATCTCAATAGGCTTGTTTTCTACTCGGTACAAAGTACGCGAGAGCCCGCCCAAGACGAGGTTTGCTGCACCGTATAGTCGCCGATCAAGTAGACGGGAGACAGAGTCTGGTCCGTATGATGAGGCACCACATTTTCAGTCTGCGGCAATTACATAGTTCGTCGGCCGAAGAATTAACCTGGTCCGCCTTGCTCGATGCTAGGAACTATCGCGGCAACCTGTGGGTGGAGACGAAACGCAACGCCGCGGACAACGTAAGACAACGATAGTTTTGACAGCTCCAGGCACGATGATACCTGTCGGCACGTAGAGGCGAAATCCTCGATAGCCCCGCTCATGATTCCAAGTTCTTTGTACAGGTCACTCCGATGATTTATTGTCCGCTGCCGTATGGACAAGCGCGCTTTGAACGTTGCGCGCAGCGCAAGCTCTTCGTCCAGGGGGGCCACCTGCATGTTCCGATCAAGGAGCGACACCGCGCTCAAAATATTTTTGGAAACATCATTCAAGGCGTTGGAAGTAACTCTCAAGGCGCAGGCTTCACGCTGTTGTTCTGTTACGGCCGACAGTCCTCAGCACGTTTATGACAGACGGTGCCCAGGGTACTTTGTTGGTTCCCGCCAACGCACCGCTGCCAAAGGACATACCATGGGCGCACGACATGACTGGATGGAAATGTATACCTTTCACAATACTGAGACGGTATTTCATATCGCTGGAGCACGTGATCTTCGGAGTCCAGGTGACGTATTTCCGATGAAGGGCAAACGGCTAATGGCTGCACGAGTCAAATTTCGCCCAAATGGTAAGGTGTGCAACCGATTAACACATCTCTCAAAAAGACAACCGCCTTTTGAGGTTCCGCTTGCCGTTCCCTGTGCTTACCTCATCGGTGTTTCCAATTTGTATGCGTTCCTCCTCTTGGTGGGTTGCCTTGGCGTCTGCTTGGATTTCGGCACGACTTTGCGTTGACGATCATGGCCCAGGCAAGGGGGGGGGCAGTCGCCGAGGTAACACTCAACTTTCGGCGCGAGAATGTTTCGGTGGACAGGAAAAGGCCGTCCCTCTTACCGTAAGCTCCAACCAAGTCACTACGAGTGGCATGGTGGAACATATTCCGAAGGACGGATCCAACAGTACAGTAGTACGGTGAATCCATAGGAAGAGACGGAGGTACGAGGGGAAAGCGCTTGGCGGTTAACAGGGGCTCTATGAATTGTCACCGGCGCGTTTTGTGTGGTTGGCTTCCGTTCATGTTGAATGGCCGAACAAAAGACAAACCGTCCGTGGCAGGGGATGAATTTGACGATGAAAACGTCCTCCACGCACTATTGTACTAACCATTAACGGCCGAGACAGCCTCACACAATCCTCTTCTTCCTGTTGACGGCGTTTGAAGCCACATAATGTGATGCGAAACATTTGTCTCACGTTTTTGCTGCTGTGCACAAAGCATCGAACAGGACCACCGTCGCTTGCACCCAAGCCGCCAGCAACCCGCACGCCCTGGATTCCAGTTTAAGGGCAAGAATCGGAATCTTCTTCGCGTAGTGGATCGCCGAACTTGCTGGGCAGCCGTCACCCGATCCATCGGCACTGCCACCATCCCTGCTGCCACTTTGCCGACCGGCTACACCCTTAGAGACTCCATCGGGAACCTTCGTCTTGGACATGTCAACCGTTGATCGCTCAGCCATCTGTTCGATGACAAGCTTAACGGCTCTCTGACCAGTCTCGCTCTCAGGGTCGAAACTGGACCCAACGCGTCGTGGTAACGTTGGCAGAGAGAGTGACCATGGCGGTGGCAGAGGTGAAAAGGACAGCGGCCAAGTGGCACGAATGATTGGTGTGCGTTCTGAATAAAAAATTCCGTTAGTTGTACTTCAACACCCCTTTTGTTCAAGTTTGATGGTTTGGGAAGAAATTCGTTGGTATTCACCTGCTCAACCGTTCGGCGATCGTTGGATCAAGGAGAAGCGCTCGAATGATTTTCATGGACGGGGAAGCCTTAAGGCGGACCCACTCCCCCACGACCTGAGGATAGCCGCTCATGTTGCCCAGCATCACGGCAACGGTTTCCTGCCAAGCGCACGAACGTCATGGGTCTTTTCATTTCCGCAACAAGAACAAGTTCCTCCGAGGACTAAACAATTTGCGCCAGAAAAGGGGTTTGGCGGGTTGGTGACTGTCGCAACACCGCGAATGTGATATCTCAACAAATTTTTACCGTAGGTTTTTCTGGTGTTCGAACCCTACCTACAGGTGGAAGCAGCTGGAGCGACTGTCTCCCACAGTTGGCGTTTTTCTTTTTTTTCCAAGGGCTGAACCAGGCAACCCTCATGAAATCCATGCCTATCTATATTGAATTGACCGCAAGTCAACGAACTTTGCATGATTGGTCTCACCATGATGAATGGAAGCTCTTGGTGCAAGCCTTTCTGCTTCCGCTGCTGCGTGGCTTCGGCCACATGGGAGCTAACCCCGGCGGCTGAGTTGAACATGCTGGACCCCAGGCAGAGCGTACACAAGAACTCCATCTGGAAGCAATCGATATCGATATCAAGCCGGGAGTGGGGTTTGCAGGCCGCAAGGTGTGCAGCGACAACCCCGCGGTGCGGACACGGACGTGAGGTGGAGCAAGACTGTCATTTCGGTAATCGCAGCAACGATCCGACATAGCAGAAAAATCACTGTGGATGGCTAGCAGTCAGGGATGTCAGTTTCGGGACATCCCCTCTCAGTTGTCGTGCAGTTTTTTCGACATGGCCCTCGCGTAAGACAACATGTCGTTCCCGAAACATCCCACGTTGTCGCTCCCAATGACCCCACCACCATATTGGCGCATCCCCCGCTCCACACGCAACACGTTTCTGTCACGGGGTTCTTTGTTGACAGTTTTCGGCTCATGTATTTGCCGGTGTAATGCTCACGTCTTCTTCTTGGAGGGTGGACAGTAAATCTCTAGACACCTCGTACGCCGACATAATTGGCTCCAGCGCCTTCTCCACCTCCTCCATGCGCAATAATTGCGCCTGGCGCTGCTCCCGGGTACTCTTGGTTTGCTCATTCCAGAACTCTTGCACCTTCGTTGCATCATGCCAAATTCGTTGCGTTGAAGGGTTACAATAAAGTGGACGTCGCTGGTATGGGCTGCATTGATTTCGTTGGGAGATTTGCTCACGCTGGGGGTAGGATTGCGTCTTCGAACGATTTATGTTCCGCGTACGTATACCGTTGATATTTTCTCTACCACAAGAGTCAGCCCACACTCACCTTGGTCTTTTCTTGCTGGACGTGCCGCACTTGTTCGTTGTTTTGACTTAGGGCGTCGAGGACGTCCTTTGCCCGGTTCTTTAGCTGGATCTAAGCCCATTCATGTTCGAGCCGCGCACCCATTTTTTCGGGTGTGGGGGAAGGGTTGGATACCATCGTTTAGGTTGTGGCGCGCGAACCGTGAGGAGAGAGGGTTGGCTTACGGGTTGGATATCGACTAAACTTGGAGGCGTTCAAGACTCCCCCAGCAACTTGGTTAAATGTGAGAGGCCCACGGAATCCGAATCCTTCTCCTTGATCCCCACAACAGGAATTCAGTTCAAGAACTAAACAAACGCACATCACTTCGATAAGATTACCCCGAACGGATAGACTACGTTCATCAATCTTAAGCTCGGTTTGCCCGAATGTTGTATGAAAATATCCAACAAAACCTTGGAACCAAATGAACAACCGACAGCCCATTGGACTGCCTTCACGTCCTGCACCCGAAATAATTGATTGGCTTCGATGAACGGGAGCTCAATTTCCCACCAAGAGAAAAGTGGTGACACCTACTTCAACCAAGACGATAGAAAGTGACAACAGGTAACAAAGCACCTTTTCCGCTTCTCGGCGCGCCTTGTGCACTCCCCAATGTTCGGCCGCGGCCAGCGCTCTGTTCAGTACCTGTGCCCTCTCCACAAGCCTAGATGTTTAGGAGCGCCAATTGGTCAGTTGGCACGCACGTTGGTGCGTTGATGGATTGGCGATGGGGCGATGGAGGACCGTGGAGTTCGTTTCATAACATGTTTTTGAAAGGGTCAACTTAGCACGGAATGGGATGGAATTAACGAGTTCTCACCCGCAGACAAATATTCCCGTCAGAGAGCTGAAATGAACGCCGCACAGAAAGCTACCGCCAACAACAGGTATCGGACGGACAAACAGTGCGCCTAGTGACGGCTACGTATCCGTTGTGTGCCACGTTTCCTGCATCTTCGACAGTAGAAAGGATAGCGAAACAAAATATGCACCACGGGATTCCGTTGTGGTTCGGACCGCCGAAATTTCATCCAATCAGGGCAAACGGAACCAGCACCGGGGAATTAACACCCACGGGAGGGAAAAATACGCGCTCTCAAGGTCATTTTGAAGCCGAATTTCTCCACGCGAATGAAATTCAGCTTGCGGAATACCAACTCTTCACGTGCTTCACTTTTTACCTGCGGCAACCTAACCGACACAGGTGCTTGAACAGCAGCAAGACCTCATCGATAGAAGCCGGTCGCGGTCCGCGGCCTTCCTCGGCCATCGCACGGAAACATTGAGCTTTCACCGAACCCCAACGTCCTTGGTCTTGACCGGCACGCGAAGAACCGTCCATCTCAACATTGACACCACCAACACGGGCGTCGTCGCTTCTTGTGCCGCCATCACAGTCAACGCCATCACAGCTGCCGCCCGCACACTCCTCGACGGCTCGAAAGACAACGACACACGCGGATGGGTCCGCCGATGCCATCCATGCGTCGAACAAGCGCTCGGCCTCGTCGGCCGCTGCGAATTGATCATTTTCGATCAGCTCGGCAACCGATCCTACGTCTCCCCCTTCGGTGGTCCCCGCGGCGGGGGTTGTTGGTGGGTCTTTGAACGCCGGTACGGTACTCTGGAAGCGGCCGAACGCCAGCAATCCTACGAGGTTTGCGTGAGTGGCACCAGACCACAGGCAGACTCGACCCTTGCCGTCGAAACCGGAATTTGGTCCACTGAACCGTTCTCTTCTTGCCAGTTCATCCGTCCCAGATGCTGCTCGATCGCGAACCGTGGATTTGTATAAACGGGAGCCATGTTTAGTCAATGAAACCTTTTTTCGATAGGATGATTCGACGTATGTTCTATACATGGTTCGATAAGTTTCCAGTGTGAAGGCCTCAGTGATACAAGGGAAATCACCAGGTCATTCACAGAATCGAAAACTTATCGGTAACGCCCGAAGGAACAAGCTTGGAGATCCACCGATCGAGCTTACCTGGAGCAGGAGATTTAGAGAGGTCGGCGCCGAGACTCCTAGCGGCTACCATTTGCATCGATCGGTCAGACCACGACTCCAAACGCATGGATGGGCAAGTCGATAGGGCCGGGAATGACGGGCCCAAAGCGATGACCTCCTCGTCATCAAGACACAGCGCCACAGTGAGGCATTGACGGATGTGGGACACTATTCGGCGGTACACAAAGTCGGTTCCGCCTCGGGTCCAGCAGGACCATCTCGATATCTGCTTCCGGAACCCGGGTGTGATGCGGGGGAAATGTTACCGCTGTCGTTCGAGACAAATAGCGCAAAGAATGTTCGGTGGAGTCTCGAAAGGATTTCTGTAGCGCCAGCGTTGTTGGGGGTCGTGAACAGACTACAGGAGAGCCAAGCCGGTTTGGAGGATGTCAACAAACATGCCGCCAGTCCCCGTCCGCCCCTTTGGATCCCACGTAGACGTCAATCACAGCCAACAACGAATAGGTCGCATGCCTACCTTAGGTTGAGCGGAATTAGAGCGCCCAGGTTCGTCATCGCCAACCCCTCCCGTAGACAATGCCTCTTCCGCTGCCGAAGCGCCCGACGTTGATCGTTTTGCCCTACCGCCGTCTGTGGCGGCCCCCTGTCCGTTGGAGCTGTTTTTCATGTTACAGCTTCCGCTGGGGTTGCGTGCTTCGTGTTTCTCCTCGGCTTCAGCTAGCTCGAGGAGTTCCGCGTCGGAAAAAAGTCTCCGAACGTCGCCTCCCTCGACGAGGTCCATCAGAGCTCGCAGGGGCCAGTCCCCGTTGCCTGCTCCCCATAGGTTCGCGGCACCTGCGGAGTCCGAAGAAGTTGTTGTGCGTCTTCAGCTTTCGCATTCCGACAACGTGAGGAAACAGAGCCTCGTGTCGTTCGGGGCACCAGCTTCAGTTGGCGGATATTTGCAATATGCTGTAGGTCCGTGCGCTTATAAACCAGGAATCCTTCGCGAGCTAGACTATGCGAGGAACGGAAGATTATTGATCGCGTTAAATGGTGAAATGTGTCGTGAGAAACAGTTCTCGTGTTTCGACCGTCGAACTAGGGTGGCGCTTGGAACTGCATGAACAAGGAACAGAGGTCCATAGGTCCTCTGGGGTACCCTCTTCCAGGCTTTCTCAGCTTCTTGACGGCTCTAACTCGTCATCCGCGTACTCAGCGATACCGCGTTCCCTTGCCTTTCACGAGAAGTACCGTTTTCGTAGGAACCAGCGGGCCCGCCCCAGTTGAAGGGCTGTGGGCTGACGAAAGGCCCGCTTTTTCGTCTCTTGACGTGGCGCTAAAACTAGTAGAAGTAGTTAGCGTGGTGGCATCATTTCGACTGCTCGTGCTGTACGCATGAGCTGCATCGGGACTCTGGCGGCAGCCCGGATTCAACCACAGATCGTCTCCGACGTCTCCTGACCGTTCAAGGTGGGGGCCTTGCGACGTCTTCCCGATACACGTAAGCACTGCCTTTCGAAGCGTTGCATTGAAGGTACGCGAAGAAGCCTCTCTGGGTGGGCCTGCTCCGTTGACAATTTCGGTCTGAAAACATCCCATAGGAGATGTTAAAGGACAAAAGGCGGGTACGAGGGGTACGGTGACAAGGCTTTCGTGTGTCGGAATCCAGAGGGTGAGCACGGGACACGCCTACACTGGTGTCCCATTTCTTCTCGCCTGGCTCTACGGCATATCGCGCATGAGGTGATTACCGTAGCTCGATTGTCGCATCGTGACCACACGCAAAGATCAACGGCGACCGCGGGGAGGCGGTTGCTTGGCTACTGCACCATCGAAATACGCCCCGATGACGAGGTGGCAGATAAAGTAGCAGACACCCCTTCAGAAAACAAGGTGATGCAATCATGTGGAGGTAGAACGGAACGCAAGTCCAATATACCGTGGCCACAAGAAACAGTACCTTGGCACACATCCGCCCAATCCCGGCGTCCATCACGACCATCCCTGTCCCTTCCAGAGCAGAGGCGAGCCGGAACGCGGACTCTGGCCCTCCCTCTCGAGACATGCCTCGGCTTTCCAGACGCAACACCAAGAGAGGGTTCCACGGAATAGACAGCTGACGCAGGCACTGGTTGTGCACCGTTGTAAACATAGTGCAACGTTCGAGGGATAATAGGTGGAAATTAGGTCGGAATGACGAGAAGGGTTATTTACAAATGTCTTTCTTCGCCTCAGAGGTTGGCTGATGGATGAGCAAACGTAATACACCTCGTGTTGGTTCGTCTTCAAGGTCTAGTCTCGTCCAGAAGTGGTGTTCCCAAGCAATACGTATGTGGGTCGCAATGTTCACTATTGGTTTTGAGACTTTTAAAAAGGCGCTTTTCACACCCGTTAGCCAGCATTGCTTTGGACCGCCTACTGAAAACCTTACGCCGGGGAGAATAAATTATACTTCAGGTTGTTCCTCAGTTCTTTCATTCGGGTTTTTCCTCAGGAGAACGGCCTCATCCAAGCAGTGGTGGGTCCGTCTTTCTCACTGGTGCGTCTCTCTCGATCAGTTTTGTATGCCCGGCTGTTCAGGTGTATGTACTAGCCTCGTGCGTTGGATGCAGGGGACGCAAATATGGACCACGCGTTTCCCGACAAACTTCCACCCCCCGAGTTGTTCACGTGACGCCAATGCAGCAAGGCATCATCGACGTCATCGATAACGACTCAAGAACCGCTCCCTCACCTTGCAGATGTTCGTAACGTCCTGAGGAGTAACGATCGGTTTCGAGTCGGGCCTCGCCGGCCAAGGTACCTTGAGCAGCTCAACCGCTCGTGCGAAGTACTTCGTGATTGCGCCAAAGGAAAAAACATCCTGGATGGACGAATAGTGCACCATGCCATGGACTTCAGACGTCGTAACAAAGATTATGAAACTTCGCCGTTGGTTTGAGACGCTGTTGCTTTCGTTTGTCGTCTTCATACTGAACCCGCCCCGGTGTCCTGCGCAGCACCCTCAATCATCCGTGCTGGTTCAACTGACATGGACATGTTTCCTGGTCACAAGCCAACTTATACTATGTAAAGAGGATTTGTAGACAAAGAACAACCGCTGGCACTGCTTCCCCTACAGCCACCTTTGCAAGCAGCGTGTACGGATGCTCTGCTCTTCTGGGCAGGTAGCTTGATCGCTCTACGGAACATGGCGAACATTACCTAGAAAATTCAAAAATCGACCTCATCCAGTCTCTTTTCCAGATTCGCAACTCAACTATTCATCTACATCACCTTCGCTAGCTCATGTAATGCAGTTCTCCTCCTTACCTTGGTGTTCATCAGGATTCCGTGAGCGACCATTGTTTGGGGGATTTCGGCGCGCTTGCTTCTCGGGGGCGTCTTGCTCTCGTTTCCCGCTCCTTCATCTCCCTTCGAACAAATCTGCACGTTCACATGCGTCGTGGTTGGTTGACGTTTTTGGGGTCCCAGGGGCTGGGCGGGAATGACAAGAGGACACGAAGCGAAAATAGTGAAGCATATGCTCCTACACGTAGCTCAGCTGTCCATGACGGGAATATCTGCGTATGTGTCTGTGTGTTCGATGGCCCGCACCTCGACGTAAGATATGTTGCCACCGGAGTGCTCGCGAGAACCGGCGAGACTGCCCTTGCTGCCGTGTTTCTCCCCGGCCGTCTTCTGTGCCGTGATCGCCTGAGTAGTAGGCAGTAAAAGGATAACAAAGGGTGAAGGAGTCAGACTCGAAGCTTCGGAATTGTTGAGCAGCGTGCGTTTCAGGTGAAAGCATTGAACCAGTGACACACAAGTTTGTCTTTGTCAAGTGCCCAGGTGTTCAGCTAATCATGCACTAGGCAGGCGCTTGAAAGGGGTGTGTAGCACCAACAAATGGTCGAAAATAATTATGGCTAGCTTCATCTCACCTTGGTCGCCTGCTGCTCCCAGTACGCCACCGCCATGACTAGGCCTCTCGTGTTGGTCCAAATTGGAAGCGTCTCAGCGCCCGTCGGAAACCACGTCTCGAGAATGGTTCGTTCCTGCGCAGGCATTCACCAATCGTTCTCGTTCAGGAACGAGCCAAATCAAGACACAGCAATGCAGCGCGTTGACTCCTAACACGCCACCAAGGTCTTAAGAGCGGGGAGAGCGCACCAACTGACGGGATCCCATACCCACTGTTGCATACACACCGGCCCGGTTTATCACCCCATGCCCAAAGCATTTCGTTGCTCTCATCACCGATTCCTTAGCATCTATCAATACGGGGTGAAAACAAGGGTAGGACACCTCATGGACATCAATCCCGATGTCGAAAGCTCTCTCCCGGATTAGCCGTGCCAGCTCGAATGTCGCCAGTTTCCGCTGCGAGCTCTCACGAAGCGGTTCCACCACCTCGCGCATGATCTTCAGAATATATACGCGTCGAAACAGTTACGAGGATAACGGGAAATGAGGTTTAAGCGTGAAAATAGCGACGCTTTAGCTGACAACGACGTGGATCAGCTGTGTTTCAGGTACCCGGATCATGCGTTGGCCTTCCCTGACAAGCTGTGTGTCGTGCGCTCAATAACACAAGTCTTGCCATATGGATTTATATGCCACTGTTTTGTTTATGCGTGTACCGACGCGGCTGCATTTATCTCGAACACTGCGGCTGCCACCCGCCGGCAGTTGGCCGTATGGCAGTTGTGGATGTATTTAGCGTTTGGGGTCGTGGATGCTATCGAACACCCCTTTCGGTGTCGCTGAGCACCGGTGCGTGCCGTTGCTGCCATGTCGTTGACCGTTCTCGCCGACACGGTGTAAGTCGTTATTTCGATCCAACACAACGGTTTTGGGCGCGATGTGCTATTCTATTCCCACAAGACAGAAGACCACAATATATTATCGACTTATAGTGGCGACTAGAGGCTGGGTATGGCCAGGTGTTTTCTCGTACAGAGCCCAAGAGGGCCGCGATGACCCCACACCATTCACGAACCTAACCATACGACGAAACTACAACGGCAGTTGCTCTCCCCGACGAAAAGCGCGTGTTCTTTGATTCCCAGTTACCGAAAATAGATATAGAAAGTCTGGTTAAATGTCGATGGTTAAACGCAATCGTTGATCATTGTACCGTTCGCGTCTGATAACAATGCTTCGACAGAAAATATTCCAGAAATGATGAAGTTCTTGAGAATACCCCCGGTTGCGAAACCATAGATCGCAGGGACATCAATGTGATTGACACCGTCCCACCGCTTGGTTCCTCCCTCCAGAACTGCAACTAACTTAGGCATTGTTGGGGACCCGCCCAGAGGTAAATCTTTCACCTCGTGAGTGAAAAACCGTTGCACAGCAACAGGCGTCGAAATGTTTCCAGTTCGCCCCAGGACCAGCGGCCGGAGAAGTCTCCCAAGAGAAAAGTAGTCCAGTCGACACGCCACTTCCCCTAACCCAACTCCCGCAACCGCACCAGTGTCCCGAAGAAGTCCAAGACGGGATGCTGCCGCTTGACCGTCAGCGCCGCCAGCAGACGGTTGTCTTGCACCGCGAGACAGTAAAGAAAGCGGCGATGGTGTTGATGACGACGACGATTCTTCTAGCAGCCGTTGATGCAAGCGCTGAAGGAAGTCGGCAGTGACTCCTGCCATTGCATCGACAGCTTTCCACACCTCGCTCGTAATGAGCATGGTGGTTTTGGTGGGAGCCGAGAAACGGTCTATCGGTCCTTTCACTGCCAAGCAAACAGAGCCTTCCCCAGCAAAGGCATCGCTACATGCGCGCGAGAACACCGACCTAAGCTCACACGTCGACGGCGCGTCCAGTGCTAGGATCGCAAAACGTGTCCAAAGACGGTCCGTGGAGGAAGCATGCGACGATAACCCGGGGGGTTGCCGGCCTTGTTGGCAGTCCTCGTGATTGCTGTCCAAGGGGTTCAGCAGCGACGGAACCGTTGGTCCTCCGCCGCCAGCTGGACCCCCATTTGCGCTTCCTATCATGCCAAGACGTGCTGGTGCACCTGCGGTAGGCTCCAATGTTGCCCCTGATCCGGAGGCTGTGCTTGCCAGCGAGTACGCCGGTGTCACAATTGTTGACCCACCAGCTGGAGAATTCAGTCTTGTCCTAGCGGCTAGCACAGCAGCAGTAGATGGTCTGCTGAAGGAGTCGCCCACGGGGCCGGATGGTGCTCGAGGGGCGAAATCGGGGTGCACCTACGGAACCGAGAGTTCGTTAAGGCCGGGGAAGTCAGTGCGTGGTCACAAGGTGTACACACGCATCGGAATAGGGGTCCTCGACCAGCTGGCACCGACACCCACGAACCCTCACTACCCGTCAACAACACACCCACCTGACACATCCGAGGGAGACCTGCCGCACCCGCCTGTCCCCCGCCTAGACCACCATGATCACGTCCCCACTGTTCCTTCTCGGTTTGGCGTCGGGCTGTCGAGCTGACTCTAACCTCTCCCAGAGCATCGTAGCCATCTATCATGCCCCGAATAGTCTCCGCGGGGCAGCTGTTCGCCCCGCACGAAGAATCGCTTCGGCCCTCTCCAGGGGACTGACGGGAGCGTAGCCATTGCAACATCGGTAGCGGTATCCACGTAGGGTGTGGCACAGAAGAGCAGTGAATATTCTGGGTACGGAGACGAGCGCTAGGTCAACGTCAATCAACGCACCCAGGAGACAAACGGCAGAAGGAAACGAGGACGGCTCTTCACGCATCTGTTTTCGGATTCTCTGACACGCCCATGAATCCTACAGTACTACACTGGCAAGAGAGAACCAAGCAATAACAACTGCTCTTTGGGGCGGCCACTGTCTTCTCTGGAAGATAAACATACTTGCGGTATCATACATACCTCCTCTGCGAAATGCACGTCGTCCAGAAATACCACTGTGCTGCTATCTTGGGGCGCTTCGAGAACGCCGTCTTTCTCCCGCCTCAGCGCTCGCCCGATTACCCCGGCGATGTCTGCCGTGGTCGCTAGCCGGCGCATATTGAGATATACGGTACTCCGTGGGAGAGTACATCCACCGTGTTGAGACGTGAAAGGCGCTTGCCCAGCGTGTCTATCCCTTTGTCCTGCAGGAGAAGGCCCAGGATTCACCGGACGACCTGTTGCACCACTGATCATAAACACCAGGTTAAGGGGAAAGGAAAGAGACACAGGGCTAGCGTAAGCAAACAAACCTTTGACGTGCGGGAGCGGCACCAAAACTGATAAGGCACATGTACTTCTGTGAACTGTTTTCTTCGTCTAGCGCATGCAAATACTCATACACACTTACACCAACCTGACATGCGGCTCACTTGTTAGTTCTCGCCAGTGGCGTAGTGCCGGATTCGGCGGCAGCCTTGGCCTCGGCACACGCAGCTGCGATCGTGGCGCCAGCGTCAGCCATTTCCCGTCGGGCGCTGTCGAGCAGATGGATACGTCTGTCGAGTCCGGCCTTTTCAGCACCCTCTTGCTGTTCCAGACCTCGTTGTCCATTTTCTTGCTCACCAAGGAAAGCCGTCCCGGGTGGTTTGTTGCCATTACTCCCGGCAATCGTTTGAGGAGCTGCTTTTGGCAGGGCTGAGTTAATTCCCTGTGGGGTTGCTGGCGGCGAGCCAGCGGTGCTAACCTCTGTTTTAGCCTCATCCCCTGCCATCTTCTTGGCAGGGTGGTTGTGCTGTTGTCCTGCCACTAAATCAGGGATCCCTTTTCCCATGACCTTGCGACGGTCAAACGAGCATTCCGTGGAGGTCAGCGGCGAGACGTTGTTATGAGGAGGTCATTGGAAGAACGACGGCGAAACCCGCAGATCGACAAATGCCATGCATGCTCACATTCCAAACGATTTTGAGCTTCGAACGTTGTTCCCCCCTGAGACGCAACGGAACACAAAAGGATCCAAACGCTGTTCGTTGGCACACGAATAAACTGCCTTTTAAGCAAAGCTGACCTACGTGACATCGACGCTGAACCCGTTAGACGTACGGACGTATTTTCCGGCAACAAATCATAGCTTTGACGACTCGCGCTATTTCTGATAACGCCATGAGTATCGTCTGGCGACGAATCGCTACTTCAAGGTTCGAGTGCTAACCTTCCAAGGTTCAGTGTTCGTGTGCATGCTCCGACTGACAATAATACAACTCGACTACTGTATTTAAATAGTGTCCTTTGGAGAAAACCTTGATCTTCGCACTACAGTACCTTCAGCAAATGCGAGAGAAGAGCCGTTTTCCCGGCACCTGACGGGCCTTGTACGAGGACTCTCGCACAATCCATACCCAATAGCGAATACGCGGCCGTGGCCACTGACGAGAGCCGTTGAGAAGGAATCACCAGAGACGGAGGGAGGGGGCAGCTCAACTCCGACGCCTGGTGTGGAGCATTGACAGGGTGGAACGTGCACGACCGATGGACGATGGTGAGGACAGCAGAGCCTGGGCCGAACACGAAGGCTCGAACTGTACTGCCCATTGCCCCTCAATACATGCGAAAACGGCAGTTGGAACTGAAGAGAACATCACAAGTGCTTCTGTGCAATAGAGCAACCAAACCTGTGTGACCCAATGAGGATCGAGTGTCCACATTCCCCGAGGCAGCGCTCCCGGGCACATGCTCGCGTCCTCCCCGATAGGTACGAGCTTTGTGTGCTCAATGTCCACAACAAAGTCGAACAGGTTGTTGTCACGAATATGCTGACGGAGCTCGAGCGGTGACGACTATGATGCCCGCGGGGGCGTGCAACGGCGAAAAGACAAGCACGGGGTGTGGACGGTGGGGTGTGATCTTCTTCGAGGGAAGAAGGAGCGAGGTGGATGAGGAACGCCTCTATCACCGTTTGAATTGCGCGAACGAGTTACCCGCGAGAATCTTCGAACAACGTTTCAAGAGGCTTTTCCAAGCTTTGAGATGCGTGGGAAGATATATGTCCAGTCACAAATTGGCTGCACTCCACGTAACACCAGCGTTCGTCATACCACTGCAGACCGTCAACCCCTTTTGGACTGTGACGGACAGTGAGAAAGGTTGGAAGCTTCGTCCGAAATCTTCTTTCGGCACTCGAAGGTTGGGCAGGGGAACTTCACCCACCTGCCGAATAAAAGCGCTGCACATGACCCGAGACGCCTCTCCCACCAGATGCCCCCCCATCCCCCAAATGCTAGCGTACACGCAAAGCAAGAACGCGCGGAGACGGAGACGTTTGTTCATCTCCTGGATCTCAGCGGGTGTTAAGTCGTTCCGATGAGCAACAATCAGCGACTGCGCTCGGGCGGGTGTCCCTGTGGGCCCATCCACCTCCACACCGCCATGCGCCTTGTGCTCATTCATACTACCATGGCATGATGAGGGCCCCGGTTGCTTGCCCGCTGCGAAAAGGGTAGTGCGTTAGGGTTTGGCGCGGGCGTAGTGAAGCATGAGTTGCTATTGTTTCTCCAGAAACCGACCTCGGCTTCTCGACAGCGGCAATCTTGGTGGGGCGTAGTTGCCAAATGCGTTGGCTATCGACTTCTGATACACTGTGATCATGAAAAGGTTTTATGTCTCCGTCTACACACTCTAAACGTTTTTCTACGGCATGCTGAGGAACGTCTACACCGGGATGTAATTGCGAATACAAAGAAAACCAACGATCACCGCCATCTTTGTCCGCGTCGGCAAGCATCAATATGTGCAGCGCACCCCGAGAAGATGGGAACTGCCGACTCTGCCGCAATACCCAACCCCCATGATTGAACTTCAGTCTTGTGCGGTGAGATATTGTACCGGGGCGCCGTATCTCGAGCTGAACTGATCAAAAACGAGGTTATGTCAAAGTACTAAGCCAACCGGGGGGAAGTGAAAGAACCTGTCATTTCCTCGTGTCCGATGTGCCACTACTGTTTCATCACCTGACCTCTCCAGCTCCAGACCACCCGCTGAAGTGGTTGCCCTCTTCTGCATCCCATCTTCTGGAACCACGGCCTGCATGAACGCATGGGAAGCTCGGAAAACCGTGGAAAGCTTTGACCAGCCTGTGCTCAGAGACTTGGAGGCAGGAGCTCCCGTGCCGGGTTGCGGTTCATATTCTTCGCTGGCAGGCTTGGGAGCACGGGAGAGAATTGTGGTGGGGTGTTGGGGTATGGTGCCTAAACCATGTTCAAGATCGTCCACAGTCTTAGTGGTTTCTAGACGCAGCCAAGGTGTAATTCTCCGATGCTGACATACGGCTCTACATTTCTAGTGGGAAGCGTCTCTCTAACATCGGCATGCGCACGAGTTTTGGCATGGACATCGAAGAAAGCGCAACTCTTCTGATGATTGTATTCCTGGCCCCACCATCCCTCTCGGCGTACATGTACAACTATTGGTATGAAAGGCCCGACATCAACTATCAGGAGTAAAAGAAGACGTGGCAAGCCGCCATCTTGCTCATGCTCACCTCTGCCTCCCACACAACGGCGTGCTCGTCGGTATCGACAAGGACACCCAGCAGCCGTTCAAGAAGGAGTAGAGTGTTTCTCATCCGAGAGGCGTAGGTGCTCGCGGGGGTGTAGGGGTCCACGCAGAGAGCGCTTGCGGCGTCCCCGGTGTCTTTCAGGCAACATCCACCCTGTGCCAGTATGCGGAGTACGGTGGCGTCAAGGGCTGTAACGTAATGCATAGAACAGCTTTTGTGCAAGGACTGCCTTCAACCTCATGTGGGAGATCCCCTCGGCAGCCCATGGCGGGGGCGGCAGTGGGATCAGATTCTTGGAGTCGGGGGTTGGCGTGCGACATCAGTAGGACGTGCTCTCGTTGCCACCACTGGGCGAGTGCAAGATGGCGAGGGATTCTGAGGAAAGCGCTAGGCCGAACTTCGCGTCCTACTGGCAGCGTTCCCACAAGAGTTCGCCTCTGTGCGGATCCATTGAGGCCGGTGAGATCATCTCGCGTCAGACGAGGGGTCAAACAATGTAGGGCCACAGCCCGGCGCAAGGGGCCTCATTCAAGCCGATACTTACGTTGAATGATCCTCGGTATGGAGACAGAATATAATGGTGAAATACGCCCAGACCGGATGGATTCAAAATTTGAAACAGAGCCAACGGATGCAACAAAGGATGGACGGGACCACAGTCCGGCGCAGGAGGCCTCACCCAATCCAATACTTACATTAAATGATCCTCGGTATGGAGACAGAATACAAAAGTCGAACGGTACCACAACGAACCTCGACAAAATCCTTTTGGCGGAAGAACTCGGACACGACCTCAAGCAACACGGAGCTGAGGACCCCTTCTCCAGATCTTGGCTGTTGGAACTTTCTGCGTTGTAGCTTCTTTAGCCAAGCCTGTGTTCACGGAATGACGAGTGGGAGTTTGGACAGGGATCGAGGTTGGCAATAGAGGGCGACATCTCAACACCTGGGCGCAAGGTCTTCTTGGTCGTGCTTCCGGCTGGGTCGATAGACGACCTCACCCCTAAATGTTGCAGGTTTGCAAGCCTACACACGTGTATACTTTGTGCCGCGGGAAGAAGCCTAATGCCCGACCTCTCGCATCCCCTTGACCAATGCGGGGCCGTCCGCGCGTAGATGCACGATGGCCGCGCCCGTGATCGTCGAGGGGCTCAGATGCCGAACATCCCCCGTTTCCACAGCCACGTGTCCCCAGGCATCGAGTGCCAGAGCTTCACCGTCCGGGAGAAGCAGACAGCGTGAGCTGTGCCTGCATTCCTGTTCAAGGGTAGGAAACAAACAAACCACGGTAGCATTTGGGGGCGGGCCGCCCGTACTGAGTAGTAAATGGCAGGTCAGACCGGATCGTGATCCAGATATGGACCGACACATCGCAGCCGTTGGCAACGTTATATCACGTGAGTTCGACGGAAGTATGCTACAAACATGGGTGCATCTGGGGCAAGAGTGCGCCCAATCGACGACATCAGAACTTATGCCAGATAAGGCGGTCGAAGGCTCAACAAAGACCAGAACTTCCTCTGCGGGATCGTGATGCGATAGAAAGACCGAAAAGAGCCGATAGTGGAGAAATAATTGATAGAGGACAGCGAAAATATCGAGTGGTCGTGCGACTCTGACATCACCTCCGGCCCGGTGAGAGGCGGACCGCCTGCATGGTCGCTCGCGAGGATGCCCTCCAACACCCTCGAAATTGGACCATCGAGCACGAGCAGCCGACTCCTGCACCCGTGCGAAAACCCGCTGGTGGCTTTCCCAGCAGGGGGGAGACAAACGTCACCGGTTCCCACTCCGCACGCTCGGTGTCGGGACCGCTTGGCCGTGGTGCAAGCGCCGCCACGCACCCCTTCTACCAAGGCGCGCAACCTCCTCACGAGGAGGCCATCTAGCCAGCAGCCTTTGTCGTCTGTGGAGCCAATCAGGTGTTCCGCCGAGCAACCGCCAGTGTACAAGACTTCGATCTGTAGAGGGGACGCAGACGCAAGCAAGTTCGTGCGGCATCGCATGGATTTACACTCGTGGGGGCACCAGTCTCAGGGAAGCTTGTCCTGGCCAGAAATGCGTACATCGTTCGTTAGGCCTAAAATGCGGCTCTACCGAGCATGTTCATGTTTGGTGGAAAACTAGATAGGAGATTCCGAGGCGTTCGTGTCGCGTGCTTGAGAAGGATTGTCGGTATTACCCATCGCTCGGCACCGGAGAACGAACAACAGCGAGTGGTCGCGCCCACCTCCATTTCGTCAACTTGCGAGTTTCTCCGTGCTTCGACGTTCCTTGACAGTGTTGATCGTTGGAGATTCTACCAGAAACATTTTGTCAGGATACCTCTTGTGCTGGGACGACGAAGGCCGAGCCCTCGATGGTAGCCGGAGGTATCCCTCCAGACCCACATTTGCCCACCCGCGCGACCCCGCTGCCCGCAGAACTACTCTTTCCGGAAGCGCTCGAGCTCTTGGTGGCTGCGCTTCGCTGGCTAAAGACGCTTGCGCCCCCGTCGCTGCTCGCACCTGAGTCACGGTAGTTTAGGGCGGTGTGAATTGCTCTCGAGGCCACATTGAAGGATAAAGGTTTCTCTTGAGATGCCGAGAGGGTATCTCAGCGCGTTGTCGCAAGTGTATTTGGTCGGCGCAGGCAGTCGGGAAGAACCTGAACCTGTATTCTAGAACCGTGTCAAGTATTTTGCTCTTCAGGCGAAGCGTAGAGCTCCATAGGCCGAAGAAGAACGTAGGCACGGCACCTTCCCAGGGCGAACACGCCCTGAACACTACTAACCAGAACCTTCTGCAGAGCGTGTGCAAACCAAAGACGAGGATACCCTCGGCCCACGGTAGTAGTCAGCACCAATTCTCCAATGAATCCCAATTTCCTTCGTAAGACTCTCCCGAGTCCGTGATAATGTACTGGTACCACATCTCCACCGTGTCGACTCTTTCCAGGAACTATAATCGCGACCCGTGGATGTGTCGTGTTTTGACGTCATGATCATGAGGTTCGAGCACGGAGGAAACAACAACGTCCACAGCATGGTCGCAGACATCTCGGCTCACCGGAGACGTTCGAAGTCTCGGAGATAGTGGTCGCTTTGGTGCCTTTGCTGGAACCGGATGCCCCGGATGCCACGGTGCCACCATCATCAGACTTATTCCCGCCTTTACGACCGGTGCTCGTCGCGTTCACGTACGCGAGGAAGGGTACCTAGGGGGAGGGCGCCGTAGGAAGAGCACTTTGCATAAGGTATCTGGTTCTGAGCTGTTGGCCCGCGTAAAGGATGTGCCTGCATACCAGCTGTTTGTTGATTTTTTGTGGATGATTAGTCATTCTACAAGTTAAGTCTACACGGAGAGAGACCGTTGACGAGGTTGGTCGAAACAGCTTTGAAGCGGCATCATCACCATGTTGTAAAGGGTAAAACTAAGATCCCCTCGTAGATTCCGTGTGACTCATGACAGCGCCATGCAGACTTCCAACGTGGACTGCATCGACGGTAAGCTAGGGGATCGCCAAGATTGAAGTCGGGAGCCTTGTCCACCAACCTGTCGGTTTACGATCCGGCGATACGGTGCCGCTCCCCTCGAGTTAGCAGGTGGCTCGAAAACCGCCCCTGGGGGGTCCAAGACCGACGCGTTAGGATGTTGGGTAGTTGCTCCACCCGCCTCAGCCCCGTCCTGCTTCTTTCTGGTGTGACAGTGGCAAACAGACGATCACTTGTCGCCATGTCACGTCAATCCCTTTATCCAAGGCAGAGGTATAGTGCACACCTTTCAGAAACACCATGGGCCAGGCGTTTCCGTGAAGAATCAGCAAGAAACCAGTAGGGCAGGTGAAGCGACCAGGCTTGTGCGTGGCTTCGTTTGCCCATAATTCATGTAAAGCCTGGATGCCCTGTTGTAGTAGTACATAGCAGAAAAAGGGCCCCCGAACGAAAACATCTGACTTGAATGACTCAACTTCTGTGCCTCTTGAGGATTTTCAGGACAAGCTCATGTCCTCGGACACACCCATATATACGGGTTTACTGCCAAGCCTGCTGCCGAAATACGAGTCACTGAAACAAACACCGCAACTATCGCTCACTTTGCCTTCGGAACCTGCTTTTTGAGCGACTTGTTGAGCTTCCGGTTGATCAGATCGACGTGCTCCGCCATCTTGGGCATCGCTTGGAGTATTGAGCTTTTCCCGATGCCGGCGGCGCCGGTCATTATCACGGCTGGTCTGGAGCACGACCACAGCGCTTGCCAAAGCTCTGCCGCGGCGTCGATCTACGTGACACCATGAGTCATACGTCGTTTTCGAAAAACAGGAGGACGAAGGCCGGGGCTGATTTGGCACGAAGTTACGGTGCGGTCGGAGAAAGAATTTTTCGAGCAATGTTTGCATACGCCTACCTACCGTCTCTGCTCATCATTGTGTAAATTATGGGAGCTGGACAGCGCTGAATCAAGAGAACGGTGGCCTGGAAAGGCTGGATGCAAAAGGAAGAATGTGGACCAAGTTCGGAGCTATTGCCGTACGGTTTCGGGAGTTGGCGACAGAAAGAAAACCATCGTTTTCAACATGGTGCACACAATTTTTTCGAAACCTTTCACGTTCTCACGCATACCTGATCCTTCGTTGGAGACATGCCATTCATGATCAGCGCTCGCTTGGCGAGGGTTTTCAGTTGGGCCACGTCGCGAGAGCGAATGGCTGTGCCGCTCTCGGCCAGTTCCGTTGCACGCAGCTTCAAGTTTTGTTGGGCCAGTTTCCGCCCTGTGGCCTATATAGACAGGCGTTCCAAAGCATTTCGATTCCAAGATATCGAAGAGGGGCGTTTGACCAACACGTGTTGGAGTGGATGTAGGATTGTGCAAGGGAGCCGGGTACATCCTTCGAGAGGCATTGGGATACCACATGGATCGCGTTTCGAACAAGCACCGATTTGAAAAATGATGTCAGGGTGTTGTGTTCTACGGTGCACCTCAATAATTCTTTCTCAGCAAGTGACACGGAGGCCGTCGAGTGCAACAACAAATTGGAGAGGAAACATGGTCAACTATTCACGAGACGTGTGTCTTCCTTGAACTATTTCGCGTTTCACCAGAACGTACCGCCATGTCTTCTAGAGGCTTCAGGATCTCTTGCAAAACTTGTGTCTTCTGGAAGGTCGACACCATAACTGCGCGCCTAGCATCAATCTCCAGCTGCCCTGCATCTTTTGGCGTTGCTGCCAAGTTATCCACGGGGACTATCTTCGGAGCAGAAGCAGCAGAAGCCGACGACGTACTGTTAGTGTTTCCGCTAGTAGAGAGCGCAGGTTTCTTTGTCTTCTGAGACTTGAGGGCGCGCGGATCCCCGCCCGTCTCCTCGAAAAGCAAAGCTCTGACGAAACCAGCGATCAAGACCCGTGCCTCGACCGCTCTAGACAAGTGTTTCGTCTTCTCTTTCCGCTCGGAGCTGGTCAGGGAAGCAAGGCCTAGCTTGCGCCTGGCGGCTCTCAGCTCTCGAGCAGTCTCCGGGGCTAAAAGCTCAGCCGCAGTCCGGACCGCTTTCACTGCCACCGTGTGCAGAAGCGTTGCCGGGTCAGCCGGCCGAGTCACTGAATCACCCCCAGCACTACACCTATTGTTGCTGCTCTTGTTACTGCTCTTTTCAGCAGCGGTTGCCGTTTCAAAGGATAGCTTTCCCGTATGCATACTCCCTGGGGTTCCTGCGTTCCCGTCACTACGCGTGTGGCAAGGCGCGGGGATGTTTTGAAGCTCGCGCAAGCCCCCGACAAGACCTAGAACAAGCGCTCGGGCTCCCACGAACCCTCTGCTCAAGAGCATGGCCTCCAGAATCAAAGGAATATTCGGCAGTACCGTAAGGACCGGGCGGAACGCGGCACGCACGGACAGGGGTAGCTGCGGGTCCGGCCCCGTTCGTGCTAGAGTTGCGAAAAACCCGAGGAAGGGCCCGCCGCCGCCGCCGCCGCCGGGGTTGTTGTGGTAGCAGTTGCCAGCCCCTGCCGCCCTTTGCCTGCCCCATGGAAGGAGTCTCCATTGATGCAAGATAGGGTCGAAGTTTGGCAAAAGATGGGGTGTAGTGGAAAGGGGCACCTGTGGTATTGTGAGGACGAATAGCGGAAGGCACGACAGGGCACGGTGATCAAGTGCGACTTGGTTGTTGGTGAATCCAGACAAAGACCGAAACACAGTTGTAGAGACACCGTGGGAGAGGGCGGTGTACAGGTGTAGCAGGGTCGAGGAGGGAGTAGTGAGAACGCGATTCGGGACACAAAGATGAAGCGAACGGGGAAGCTCTATAAAGTTCCTGTGCCGGATAATCCTGTCGCTGCTTTATCAGACGATGTTTGATGTTGTTGTTGGTTTCGTCAATTGTCGTCATAACATGAAGACCTGCTTGGACCGTCTTTCCGGAATCTCCTCCTTGATGCTCTTGAAAAGCATAGAAACGTATTGCCGCGTGGCCATGAGCCAACCAAACGAATGTACAGATACCATCAGCAAGCCCGTTCCCAAGGAGGCTACGACACAACGGTCCAGCCTATGCCATGCATTGCCAGGCTCAGGAAACATGTTTCAACAAGCAAGACCCACCGAAAACGCATTCATCAGCCTGCCTTGGGACCTGCCCCGCATTTTCTTTCAACACGAACACTCACTTCTTCACCGTTGACAAGGACCTTCTCTTGCCCCGCATGCATGCAAAGCATGACCGCCCGTAGGCTCTCAGCGAGCACAGCCAGAGACACCTTGGGCAGCTCATCGACTCCAGCGAAGACCGTCACTCCTCCCGCCATGAGAGTAGAAGCAATGACACTGCTGACAGCCTGATTAGTTGGTTGGTTATTTCGGTCACGTCAATTATGCGGCGGTAGAGATGGATGTGGAGGGCGCGCTGACGTAGGCATTCAGCGGGGATGAGGGTGGGGAGGTGCACCATCAGGAGGGAAGTGATAAACGTGCGGAGGTGGTCGACCTACTGGTTGATGCGCTTCCATCAGGTATAACCTACATGGTGAACAAGCCTGCACTACATGTGTTCTGAGTTTCGTTCAGTGAAATGTTCAAGGTATTGTCTAGCCCTGCGCAGTTTTTCATACAACGAAGGTAGACCACCATACCAACTCGTGTGAAGCAGCTGTATCACCCTGACCAATGCAAATGAGTACATGACGACTGCCATACCCTCTCCTGCAGTCGTGTCCTCGACACGCTGAGTTGGTTGTTCAACGTGACCAAATTCTTGTTGATGCCTTTTAGGTGTGAATCAGACCAGCCCTTCGTTTAGTGAAAGGGGGTTGCTTCACTTGCACACGTATTGTTCAAAATACCTGCGGGGATGTAACGCAGCCAGAATGTAGCTGGCGGAATGGTCGGCCGAAAGCAGTAGCCACATCTAGGGCCGCTGTCGATATATCCACTGGGGACGGGGGCGTTGTGAGGAAACTGCCACTAGTCCTATCGAACTGTCGACTGCGGTGCCTTTGGGAAGATGCTGAAACAAGCAAACCGCCATAGAGTCCCTTTCGGTGGTTGGACGCAAGACAAGGGTCGGAAAAACATTTCGTAAGTGTCGATTTTGGTGGACAGCTGATTATAGAGAGCTTCGGTGAGGACTTACCTGTGGACAGAAGCCTACTTCCCATGCTATCGAGTAAGGGTCGGTCATTCTAGAGTGGTAACAATGACAGGCCCGAAAAAAATAGTTGCTGAGATAACACGCTAGTGCTCGTGAGTGCAATGGTTCTCCCTACCCCCGACTGCTTCACCTTCGCACAGTGTACGGCGTGTAGCAAACACCTCTCGGATAATGGTGTGAGCCACAGCCTCTCCAGAGTGCCAGCGTATTCGAATCCATACGGGACGTTCCATGGTCCGACGCTGACCCGAATCAGCGGCGGTGGTGGCGGCGGCACCGAATCATTTTCCTGATCCTCATACCCTCCTCGTCCTTCATTTTTGGTCCCACCACTACCAGCAGCGCCGTGATCACTCCTGTCATCGTTGTCGGTTTGCAGGTCGCTTCTCTGCTGCGCTCGGCCGTTCAGGGGTTGCACCTCTTCGGGAGAGGTGTAGTAGTGGCGCAGATGGCACGCCCACAAAAACGGAAAATAATTTTCTTCTTCGTCGATTCCATGCTCTCGATCCCGATGCCCATTGATTGAGGAAGGCGCCGACCGTGCCGTGGGCGATGAGGGTGCCATACCGCTGGCTGCCGATGTGGCAAGGGTTTCTCCTGCCTGTCGCCCTTGCCCTCCATTTTCCGAAGGGGGCGTAGGGGATGGCGATGGCGGTGGCATTAACACTGTTTGAAGAAGCTCTTCTACAACGTCCCGCTGCTGGAGCGCCTGGGTTGTGAGTGCTGTGATTGTGAGAGAATTGTACGCGGTCAATCCATCGGGTTGGCTAAACTCGCCCGACCAAGCGTTGAGACTCAGGAGGAGTGACTCCAGAACATCTTGGAGCTTGTTGCGTTCCGGCTTATTTGTCGCCGCGCTAACTCCTGCGGCGCCACCACCACCGTTGCCGCCGTCGGTTGAATGCAACGGCTCACTAATGGTGCAGGCCAGCACTGATTCTATCTGGGCGGTCCAATGGGCTCCCCGGGCAAGCAACTGTCCCTGCACGCTTGGTTGACGCCCCGTAGTCGTCTGCTCCCCGTTTTTCCCGCCATCTCCGTCACCACCGACCGCATAAGGGTCACCGCCGCTTCTCTCGCTGGTCGCAGTATTCGCTGGTTTGTTCGAAGAAGATGGTATCCCTGACTTTGGCAGTAGCCCAGGGATGGCGTTGAGGCCGCTGGTTCTCAAGCCAAGGTGACCGAAACCACCCCCCGCCTGGTACTGGCGAAGAGAATTCGCGGCGATCTCCACATCTTCGGCGATTGCAGACATCAGCTGCCGGTCGAAGTCCCGGACCCAAATTTCCAAGCGGCCGACGGCTGGGATGGGGGACGAGAACGGTACCGCCTCGAGGCCGGCGCCGCAGCAGCGGACACCAGTAGCTGCCATATGGGTCCTAACGGTGGTCCCGTTGGTGCTAACGACCTGTTTGAAAGCAAGCCGAAGGGACAAGCAGAACGAGCGACCGGAGGGTCGGTATTCATGAGAAACGCTGCTCTTCGTGTTGTGGTAACCATCGCTCAGACAGGCACACCGTGGATGAGCCCTTCCCGGGTATTCCAGGAGCCGCACGCGTAGCCACCCGGCCAACAAAATATATGTCTTGCTTGAAGGGAAAGACGCACCTCCTTCCACAGAATTTCCCCGATCCCTCGGAACATACACGCGGCGCGCTCGTTCGTCTCTCCCGCTGCTGCGCCAGACCCGACGCGACCCGCCGCCCAGTCGCGAAACAGCCTAAAGAGATGATGGCGAGGTAGGGCCAGCAGGCGGGGGCACACAGCCGTGCGCGAGCTCAGCCACCTGTGGCTCTCAAGCAGCAGTAGAAGCAAGGGCGAAGGGGTGGGCGGGGAATCTGCTGACGTGTCCCGTATATCATATCCCCACATCTTGTTCGAGGTTTCGCCGCTGTACACAAATCGCCAATCAGCATTGCTCCAGCCGCTGGCAAGTGCACACAATGCTCAGTTCTATATTTTGATCCGCTTGTGATCACTGCGCCTCGCACTCACAGTCTGGGTTGCACCTATTCTCCGGACTTCGGTGTTCTCGGTGGCATTCCCGCCAAGAAAAGTAGGGCTAGATATCTCGACCTACGTCTACGATGAGTCCACTTGTTCGTTTTTTATCTGCTCATGTGAAACGTGCCTGTCCATAGTGATGGAGACGCCCTCCAAGTCGTCTTGGAGTTTGCGCACTTTCGCGAGCAGACTCCTGCCCCCTCTTTCAGCTCCTTGCTGTTTTCCTGCTAGGACAGTCATGCACGTGTCTGCTCGAAGTGTCCCCAGGATGTTCTGGAATGATCTGTGTTTTGGACACCACCAGAACGTTGGGAGGGGGGTGTCGGAAACGACATGATGAGAATGCACAGCACCGATGTGGTGAAAAAGTGCTGAAAAGAAGGTCCCATCACTGATTAGTTCCTTGGATCCTTGAATGATGGCTTGGGTGAAGGTGGGCGATGAACGACCTCTTGGCCCGTGGCATATTTCGGTCTCGGACAAGCTTGGTGTGCACCATCACGGGAATAGGACTGACGCGTTACCCGAACTCCGACGAGGGTCGACTCCATTCCTGACCGCACCATATCCCCGAACAACCCTTATCCCTACCACTCAAAAAGCATGTCGCTCACCCCGAAACGTCCGTGAAGCGCACCCTGTCGTGCGCTGGGACTCCATCGTCGAGGTGTTCAGGAACAAAGGCCGGTGCCAGTCGAACCCACTGCTCTTGCACGGCCATCCAGTTTGTGAGTATCTCCTAGAACACGAAATGGGCCATGTTCCACGGCGATTGGTAGCGAGCAACACCAAGGGCAGAAAGGAAAGTGCGCAGCATCACATGCACAAGTATGCTGATGTTTGTTCGCAGCCTCTAGTGGCTTTTCGGAGATTGCGGCTTCTAAATCAAATTGCCGGGACACGCGCGGAGAAGTCGATGTGAGCACGAATACCATCTTCATCGTCGATGTAGCTCGCGGCATACCATCCCGTGTAGCGTACCTGAAACCAAGAAATCCTCTTTTGCCACTCCAGAGCAGCTTGTCCGATATTTCCCACAGCCAGCAGCGCGGAAGGAGCATCAACAACGCTATCCACCACCAACCGGCAGTGTTCCGCAAGGCGCAGCAGCTCATCTCCGTTCGACAACAGTGAAGTGAATCCCTCGCTCGCTGGCAAATCACTGGCGCCTCCACTGCCACCGCCGCCCACCCCCCCCGCTATGGTGCCAGCGCTGTATCCTTGCTGGACTAAGGCGGGCTCTGCTAACACCCGCGAGTACAGCCGACGACGCCTTAGAGAGTCTGAGTCCACTGTCGGAGACTGCTTGGTGATTCCAGGGGCTGGGGCACCCTCGTTGAAACGCCACAGAAAAATCATCGGGGCTGCTTCCCACACGCCCTCTAGCTCCTGGTGTGGTTCGGTTGGTGAGCATGTCATTGAAGAGATGGTGTTGCGAGCAAGGGGGCGGGGTGCGTAAGGTTTCCCAGGACATTCTAGATATGCGTGCCGCTACGATGACGAGTGAAAACTGTTCAAGAGGGTCGTCGGCGAAACTGCTGTAGACGATGGAATGTGGAAGAAAACGTAAGCCAGTGAAGAGTCCCTACGATAAAACTACGAATAGATTATCACAGAGAGACATCTTGTCGGGCACAGTGAGGCCTTTGTTCACACTCTGATTGCCACACAGACTTCATTCGTTCCACGGAAACTCGACTTTGGATTTTGCATACCAGCCAGAGTATGATGTTCTGCCCTTGCGCCCGCTGTGGTTTGAGATGCAAGTAGATGAGAACCTAAGCACCATTCCATGTTTGACTATGCTTTGAGTTCTCGATTGAAAACAAGCTCGAGTCAAGTTATCACTAAGAGCATCTCCCTTGGGAGAAATCGGCGCTACAACTGTGGAAGAGACCCGAAAATCGGGTACTTCATGTCTCTCATATGGAGACAAACCCACCTCGAGTGTGTTGCGGAGCACGGCGCTAGCGGTCGCCTCCGCGGAGATCGAGCCTATCACCTTAATCTTCTCAAGTAACTCGTGGTTGAGCAAGGTTGCCAACGACAACCCCCCCCACTCCGCTGCCATCGGGAACACCTACGCGGAGGAGCACAGCAGACAGACGACAACAGAATTGGCGCGAAATCATGGCGTTTTTTCTACAAGCACGGAGAGGTATGAAGGAGGTGAACATGTAAATGCGGACATGTCCCGCTTTAACTTCATGCACGAAGCTAGGCATAGGGACAAGCAATCGGCTTCAAGACACAATGGGCGGCAACACCTCGTTTTCAGGGCTGGCACGTGCCACTCGAATCCAACAAGGCAGTTATAATAAACACAGCTTTAGCAAACGCGGCGTTGGGCCTTGAATAGATACCTTCTCGTAGGGACCTTTTCGCGTCGAAATTGTTCTGATGGCTGCCTGTCCAGCCACAGCGAAGTTCGGGTGTACCGTGGCAGCTGGCAGCCACGTTGCAGAAATGTCTAAGGGTTGATTCAAACCCTTGCAAAATTGAGGTTGCCTCAGGCTTCGACACAACCCACCACCACAGTAACTCGCACTGACTATTCAATGGCCCCGCCGGCGAAGCGCCTCATCATGGGCTCGAAATTGAAGTGTTCCTCTGACTACGGGAAACACGCACGCGAAACTGAACGCAGTCCTTGGGTATGAGACAAATATCGGTGTTGTTGTCCCAATACAGTGTTCACAGCCGTGATGTCCTGGAACCAACGGAGATATCTGCGATTGTCGTGCCCTCATTCTTGCGAAACACGTGGCCAAATCGACTTCTCGACCGATGCGCATACGTTATCTAAGCAGCATGGCCGCCAGGCTATTTTTCTTCATCACACCACACCTCGTAAACCTCTGCTCGCCGTCGTGCATCTCCTCGACGCTCACGCCCAGCCACCGAGGACACGACTGCGGCCGCCTTACTGACCCTTAGCTTGCCACCGGCGTCGAATTTGGGGGGAATCACCCGCGTTGCGACTGACGAAAACACCTTCGCGGTGCCAGAAGACGATGGTCCCGTGACCGAATCGGTAGACTCAGTCGCTAATGGATCCACAGAGTCTGCCACTCCCGTTTTTTCGATCGCGGTTTTTTCGCCCTTTTCCGCTGAAGGTGGTTCCGCTTGGTTGAACGATTCGCCGTTGTTGTCGTTTATGTCAGCTGGTGGTCCTTTTTCCAGGCCGGCGGCATGTCTGAGGGCGGGCATGAACTCTTTTCGGGCTGCCCTCTTGAGGTCCTGGCAGGGGAAAAAAAAATTCGGCCATGTCAATACGATACTGATGATGCTGGAGGAAGAGGAGGTGAAGATGTTTGAGAGTCATCGGTCTTGAGTGATTCAGGCTTGTTTGGGGGACCACCACAAGGTGCGCGATGATTGACAGGGAGGTAAACACAGAGCATGAGAACGTGCAAACTGTTTACTTTCGCAGTCACAGAGCACTTAACACTAACCTCGTTCAGTGGCATTGCCTGCTCCACCCTCTCCCAGTACGCTGCGCTCAGGTCTCGGTTATGCAGAAATCCAACGGCCTCGACCACCCTGCCAAGGTGCGCCAGGGTCGCCTCGCAAGAAGCGGAAACCTCGTCTGCGCACCCGGCGGTTTCCACGGCGAAAGCGTGTGCGCGGACAACCCGGGAAAGCTGGCTAGCCATGACATCGGCGTCGCAGAAGATGAGTGCGGAGCTTTCCCACTCTTGGCGGATATGGACGGCCTTTCGTTGGGCCTCCCACTTGAGAACCAGCTGTTGTGGGGGACCCATGTGCAAAGAGTTGATGCGGTGGAAAAAACGAAGAGAAAGGTTGTACGGGGAGCGGGACTGTGTGTCAAGCTTGCGTGGCAGAATCATCCAAGGCGTTGATTACAAGGAACCTGAGGTGCCGGCGACCCCGCGACGTAGAGTGCTAAAAGAACACTCACAAGACATGGGACTAGTTGGAATCATTTTGTCTATGATCGCAGAGGCCGTCGTCTTGAACGAGTTAGAAGCAAGCACGAGGTGTAACGCAGTGGTACCGCCTGTTGGAATACTCAATGTCAGTCATACGTATTGGTACTGCTGTATACACAGCACGTTGGTATGCACCTGAGGAGTATTACCGGAATAGTCTTCGGTAGATTATACACACCTACGGGTTATATGTTGAACCATAGGAGTATGGTACATCGGACCATTGTCCAGTAGGATATTCTTGGATTGGTTCTATAGGTCGGATTAACCGACTGTTACCGTGACCGGTGCGTTGCAATAGTCCGTATGTGTGCATCTTTCCGTGATAGCTTGGAGGCTCGCCCCCTGTGGTGCTCGCCCCCTCTCGATAACTCTCCTTTCTTTCCCTCTTCTTCCAAGGCCCTTGGCCTCTTCCAAGTCCTTCGGGACTCTTGCGAGGCCCAGGACTCCTCTTCTCTTCCTTACCTTTCGGCCACTTAAGCGCCAATTCAAACCATCAATCTGGTCTACAACACAAGTGTACTTTACAGTCACTCTGTGAGCCTCTGCACACTGTTATTACACAGTGCCACATCCAGGATACACTTATCATAAGGTTACATCCCAACAGGTTAGAGCCTCGAGCTCTACATCCCAACACCGCCTTGGGTCACACTGTCGTAGCAAAACATATTGACTAGAGGGCGAATACAGGCATATGTCAGTTAGGCGAATACCATGTGGACAGATATTGAACGCCTGGGGTGGCCTGGCTACGCCACTTTGCGTTCCTCATGATAGCGTTCTTCATAGACAGGATGCCTTCATGCACGCTACCAAGGCGCGACGTTTGCTTCGAAAATGGGGAAAACAACTGCTCCCACACCTGTCTCCTCTCAGCGCCGACCCGTTCAAGGTCGAGCCGCATGTTTTCCTCGTCAAACTGGTTCTTGCCTCCCCCTTTCGCAAGCGCCCTGACCACGTCTTTGTCAAGGAACCCGCTGTAGTGGTGGTACCGAGATTCGTCTTCCTGTGGCATTCAAGAAACGAGCCCAAACAAAATGAGAACCGTGTTAGGGTGACAAAACTATCTCCGACTTGGTTGGGATTGGTGTTGTACATGTTCCCGACCACATCTCTACGAGAAAACATGGCCGTCGAAAAAAAATGAAAGCGGCACTTGCTATAGGCAGATGCCGGGAAGAAAAAAGAGGGAAAAGCGCCTCCGCGGTGGAATGATCCAAATTGCGACATCCTGATCGACCAGAACCTCAACACATGTGGAAAAGCCTTGGTCAAGTAGTGCAATGAATTAACATATCTGACCTGTAAATCGGCCAACCGTTGGCGGTACCCTTCCAACCGCGAGCAGGCTTTCGTGGGATCCGTGGAAGCGTTCGACAGAGCAGGATCCAGAATATCTGCCTCTAACCGATCGATGTCGCGGCTCAACGACTCCAACGCCTGGGATTCCCAGTGAAACGTGAGGAGTGCAATGTCTAGGCTGGGAAGCAATTGGCGCGGAGCGTTTCAGGTAGGTCCAATCTGACAGAGCATGGTGCGTGACGTCCTTTCGGTTGTCGTGTCTTCGGAGGGAGACTATGCAATCAAACTCTCAATGCGAACACAACAATAAATGAAAGCAACACAACCGGGTGGAGTATCGACGGTTGCATTTATACGGTAAAACTCAGGTGACCGGTGCCCGTGAAACATGTGACCACGCTGGAAGCTTGCAACAGAATGCGCCCTTGTGTGGAGTAGATCGATCGCGCTATCACATTCCATTTTCTTGTCGTCAGCAAAACTACATTACCGGACTGCCATACCAGCAGTTTGTCAGATAAGCAGAAGAAGGACAACCAGGCACGAAAACTGAGGACGTCTTGCCTTCCTAAGGAGAGAAGAAAACTCCTGGCTCGCGATGCGCATGTTGATGTGCGCCTGGTCTACCGAGCGCTGCAGAACGACCAGGTGATAGCCGACATTTTCCGTCGCCTCTCGCGTTTGGTTCTCCACCGCTCGGAAATCGTACCCGCCCCTGTCGTCAAAGAAACCACACGATTTTCCAGCAGTCCCGCGAGAAACGTTGTTCTTACCACCGTCGTCTGGCGGCGGGTCGGTTTGCTGCTCGCTGCGGGCAACATCGTTGGTTGGCGTTTCGTCTTTTCCGTTTCCATCCCCTCGCGAGGTCTTCGTTGGCGAAAATGCCGTTATTTCTGCCGGTTTGGAAGTGGTCGGTGGTGATAGTGGCATCGATGAGCCGTCGCCGTTCGCGGACACAACTCCACTGCCTGTTTTGACCGCCAAGCGGGGTAATGGCCAGGCATCGAAGCACCCGATCTTTTTCAGCAAAATCCCAAGCTCTTGGAGCTTCTGAACCTCGTCGCGCAATTGCCACAGCCACTGTTCTATCTGGCACAAGAACACCGCCTACAAGCGGGTAGATGCACAATTGCACGAAGGTTGCGGTTGGGAGATTAGAGACGAAAAATTACCCCGGAATGTCAGAGAGAATCACACGGAAGGATAAGTGTGTCTCGTCGAAAGGTTGTTACGGGGAATCAAGGTTACCCTGACAGTACAATGCTGGAGCTATCACAGCTTTCTCAATGTTCGAGAGGTGTCTCCGACTGTGATCTCACAGTTCCTCTAGTGAACCAACCTTCTCGCCAATGGCATCCACCCCTAGGAGTCCACCGCTCAGTATTGCGTTGCATCGGCGGAAGACCGCTCCTAGAATTGCCGTAGCATTTAGCATTATCCGCGGCCCAATCAATCGGACATCCTCGAGGCACTTCTCGGGTAGAGCCTGCATAATTATGGGACGTTATCATCGCTTCAACTGAAAATGTGTGGTCCCTTTGGAAGTGAAAGAGTGCGTTTCGTAACCTGCCGACACGCCAAGCGTTCCGACGACAACAAACGTATCAATGTATTGCGACGTGTACCAAACTGTTCTCTCCACCATTCCCGTTGTAAACTCCGTGTGCAAACGACCAAAGAGGGGTAAATTCGCTTCTGCCGCCGTCTAGAAGCCTGTGCTGTTATCTACGCGACACGTGCGAGGACAACAGAGCTAAAATAGAGGGTGAATAGCCTAGAAACGGTATTGTTTTCGTTGTGTGGCGAGGCACCACTTGATGTGCAGGCTTCGGGTTTGGAAGAGCGCCCCAACCCAATAAAGTTAAGTCAATGGCAAAGTCGGCTGTCTGTTTCTCCCTTTCGTGCATTCTGGCTCACCACGAGGTATGTTATCAAGTCCGTCGCGTTTATCGATAGCAGTGCTTGCGGGCTGTCGATCTTGGTGGCACGAACAGTTTGCCGGAAGCGTTCGAACCTCGAGTACCAGCTATGGAGCCATTCCGTAGTGGGCTTGGCGAGCAAAACCTGTCAACGCGGTGTGATCATGTCGGCCGACGGTTTGGGTGCATTCAGGGCTGCCGCTGTTCGCTTCTCGACGTGCACGGTCGTTTTGAGAGTGCATGTCACAAGACTTCCGTTCGCTCCAAGTCCTGTGCATTGTGCCTCTGAGCCAGGCGACGCAGACCGGTCGACCACGAATTGCAATGGACGAAAGCTGTAGAGAAAATGAGTAACGATTGGAATGGTTGACTCCATGATGCGCTGAACGTTCTCCGGGCTGCCTCGATCTCGTTTCCTATCCCACGATCGCCAAAAGCATGCCTTTCCCTCGGTGATTACAGCCGCGTGAACACACGAACACCCCTCCTCTGGTGCACATGATGACACGTGAAGACACCCTGCAGAGCTTATTCCAGAACTGCCCTTCGCCGCCGTATGGAAGCTTTTAGCTGACCCCGCCATGGTAACGACAAACCGTCTCAGTGGATATGTTGGTGATCAAGTCGAGACTTTCACGTTTGAATCCTGGGAGAAAAACTCACCGGGGAGAGGTCGAGACACCCCGCCTTGTTCCCTGTTCTCTTTGCGGAGGCTATCACGTCTGCCGCGATCGCATCGGGATCAGAGGTGCTCTGCAGTCTTTCGTATTCCCTTTCCCTCTCTGCTGTAAACGTTCCTAGAGCCTGATCGAAGGACAATGACGAAAATGGCCATCACGCGGCATAGGTTATTCCTCCACCTTTTCCGATTCAGCCTGGTTCGAACAACGGGCAATCGAGCCCTACGATTCCAACGAGTAATATTTTCGATAGTATGTTCAATGGGTGTATAAGTTCTTCGTACTCAGGAATATTATATAAGCATGTTGGTAGTCCATCGCTATTGTAGCTTCACCTGAAACTCCTGCAGTAGAGGTCGAAACCCGTCCACCATGCGGTACACTGAGTTATGGCTGGACGCGAGCGACAAGAACACCTGACAGACAATAGGGTCAGATGGTGTCGAAGGTCCGCATGCGCGATCCGAAGCAGCACTCAGCAATTTTGACATGTTCATAAACAATAGCGGTTTTTTTACTCTTCTTTCGTGCGTGGCGGTAAGGCGTTGAACGCGCGATAGCGAGCCGTTTGCCCTCCCTTTTCCCTTCCTCGCGACTGCTCATACACAAGAGAGACTATTTGCGGACGTACTGCTGTCACCTTATCTTGCAGACCACGGTAGTAAGGGTCTTCGGAAAGGTTCTCCAACCAACCGCACTCGTCCATGGGTCCCTCGGCAACCTGCTCCATCCTGTGCGTGGTTTCCGCAATACCCCTCCCCCCTGTCTCCTGCCAAGATGTAGAGGTGTTCTCTCTCTCCGACGCTGCACATCCGTCGGTGGATGAACCGATGGTTCAATGTTGTAGTTTTCGAAGAGGTGACGTACGTACGAGCCAAAACGAGTGCAAGGGAGCATTCTGAGAAATAGGAACCGCGTCGACTGCAAGCCATCGAGACCCTTCGCAATGCCTCGGATGAACCAGTAGGGTTGGGACATCTTTGTATTGCCGCCACTGCGTAGCAAGAAAAAATTATTAGCATTCTCACCAATTTCTTCATCACCGCCTTGCGGTAGCTCGAAGCCCAGTCCGTATCCTTCAACCATTGTCTGGTACGGCTTTACATCGGGGTGCTCTAGGATGCATGGGACTCGCGCAAGAGCGGTCAGCACCTGCACTTGAGCTTGTTTGGCGCGGCGCACGAAGTCTTCTAGAGGTGGGAACACTTGCAGGTCCCATTCCTCGAAGTTTCCGCGGACGTCGACCTAGCGGAATGATGGGCCGGGACAAGGGCTCCACTTTATCTCGGAAGAAGGTAGTAGAGGTGAAAGCGTCCGCTGCTTCCGGACATATGACATCGTTTTTGTATGAAGCGCGTTGCGGAGAACCGTACATCAATATGGATTGGTACTACCTGATGGATGGCAATATTCTATTTCTACCTGGCGCCGATACAGAACGGTATCTTGGCGGAAGTTGTAGCACGTAGGGGACGTCTGGGCCACTCCACATGCCCCACTCACGTATCCTCATGCTCGTGGCATTCACCAGCGTTCACCTTAAGACTGATCCCGCCGCAGGGGGCGGTGCTGATGCCGTAAATCTCAGACAGATGCTCTGGTCTCATCGATGTTCTTGTGCGCGAAGGATGGGCTGCAACCTCTACCCCTGAGAGCGAGTCAGTGTTACTATTTGCGTCCCACATACTGGCGTCCAGCACGGTCGGGTTTCGATGGTCCTTGTTCTCATTGATGGGCCTGCTTGTTGTAAGGATTCACGGCGGGCGATGCACAGCAAGAGAGGATGTCAACGGTGCAATACGTCGAAATAGAGAGCATATGACGGGGACATTGGGCTAAGATGAGGAAGTAACCGGTGTGACGAGGGATCAGGACAACGCTGTGCCGCTCACTCGGTTCCGCGCACAAGGATGAGGGTTGTCTTTTTCCACGTGGGCTCCACCACACCACCCCAAAGCTGAAAGCTACTTCGCGCCCATCATCCAACGAAAATCTACTAGTAATCGAGCTGCTTCTCACAGCTCTTTATCACATTTTGAGAGCACTCTGTGAACAGGTAAGGGTCCTTACAGGATGGTGCGTCAACCCATTCTGTTCTCGTGTAATTTCCATCGCTATGAAATCCGGGGCACCAAGCAAACTCCAGGACTGCGCCAAACAAGCAGCAGGCTTGGCCATTGAACGCCCCGCTCACCGAGCGTGTTCACGCTGCTTTTCTTCGTCCGCGGCTAGTCTCGACACCATCAATGCCTCCACCTCGCCGTCTTCCTCCTCAGAGAAATCGGAAGATACCTCGCTGAGCTGAGCGTCGATACCACCAAGACATGCAGCGCTCAGCTTCAGCGCTGCCGACAAGAACACGTCCTCTGTTACACCCTTCTGCTCGCCACTAAACCTGCCCAGGTCGCGGTTGGGAGGTGGTCGTTCTTGTAATCATTGTTTGAAGATTAACCCCAGACCCCGTGCAAGCCGGGCATTTACCGTTTTACTTCAAACAGAGGCGCCTCCAACACGTGGACCTTCAACCTGCCACCACACTTCTGCAAGGACATTGGATGTTTCACGGTATTTTGCGGCCACCACCTCGTTACTGTCAAGTACACCAAAGCCTTTCTTGAAAACGCTTTCCTACGCCCTCCTCTAGAGACAAGGGGGAGAGGGGGGGGGCAGGACCATCGTGCCAGCGGATGGAAGAGCTTTTGTGCCTGCATCGCCTTAGTAGTTGCGGCTGTCGCTAAGGCCCACCTCCGAGGGTGGGACGACAGACTTCTGCCGACCGGCAATACCAACCATGGCAACTACGAACTCAAGCCCAGACGCTCCCGGTAATCTGCGATTCTAACAACCCCGTCTTCGGCAAATCAAACATATTATTTTTGGCGTCGATACGCGAACCTCAAGAACCACGGCGAAGGGTGGCAAACACCTGTGTGTGATGGGGAAGAACTCCTCTCCACGCAAGTTGGGCGTGATTTCAGCCTCGAACGTTTCGATGAGCACTGGCTTTGCACCGAGAGGGTTCTTGATCGCGAGAGTCTCCGTTGCGTGCGGGATGAGCTCACAAGCCAGCTGAATTGCCCGAGGCACCGACAAGCAATTGTCCTGGACAGAAATTCTGCTGCAGAAGTTGAATCTGGTGAAAAGGGGGGAGAGAGGGGGACGTGTAATTGCTTGCCATGTTCGTTGGGCATTGCCCGCATGTCTTGCCGCGTGTCTATTTCGAGGTAGAGGGACATTCCTACTCTCTCTTTCGCCTGATACCGAAAGCCTTGAAACCAATTTTTATTTTCTACTGTAACCAATGAGCGCAAATTTCTTGAAACCAAGAAAAGTCCACGTTTGGTCCCGCCTTAGCACCATCCAAGACTTCACGAATTGCGAACAGCTCAAGCAAATATTTCGTGGTCAGATCGGTCAACGCCGTCGTACGACTACCTCGATGAAAACATGTCACAACGATCATCCTATGGCTTCCCTTGCACCCAAAGAAATGCTAGGCAACACGTTGCTCTTGGGTGGGTATTCACAAAGGCACGCCCGAGCCGCGGTACTGTTTCACACCTGCTTGGAGCTAGAGAATCTCGTTTTCCGCCTGTCGAAGTGACGGCCTCCCGGAATGCCTTCCGCCACTTCACGACGAGGTCTGCGCCCTCCTCCGCGCCGGCTTCCGATCCATCACCGGTAGCCTCCTCTAGCAAGCACGCTTCGAGTGCGAGCGTGGACAAGTCCGCCATGTCGCCTTCGTCCACGGCCAGAGCCCACCGCATATTCCACGAGTCGTACGGACGGGCTTCGTGCCTCAGGTTTCTCCTCCTGCGGACCACCTGGTGGCGGATAACGTCGTCGTTGTCGTCGTCGTCGTCCTCCTCCTCGTCTTCTTTCCCCCCTTGCTCCTGGTCGCAAACTCCAGGCTGCTTGGGCTGCCTCCGTTGCCTTGGGGGTCTTTCGGCTTGCTCTTGGTGTCCCTCCTCTCCTCGAGAATCCAAACCGCCATGGCCCGCGCTTGGCTGCTCCCGTTGTGTTCGCTCCCCGGCTGCGGCTCTTCCACGAACGATACCATCAGCGTTGGTGGCTCCCGTTCCCCTCTCCTCAGGAACCGCCACCAGTCTCCTCGCCACGACGCCGAGCAAGCGCTCGCCGTGATCGAGAGCGAGCCCTCGAAGCTCTTGTCGTATCCTATGGCGAGCGAAGCGGAAGACACGGGCTATTCGCGCGCATTCGTACCTCTGGCGGGCGGCGAAGGACCACGACGTTGGCGGTTCGGTGGCGCTGCGTTCGTCATCGTCGTCGTCGATGTCGCCGCCGGCTTTGCGACTCGTGGCCTGATTGACGGTAGACAGCAGCACTTGCTCGAGGGATGGACGGCGAGCGGCGACGGCGACAGACGAAGCTTGGTCCTCGCTCGGTAGGCCGGTGTTCGAAGACTCCTTGTTCGGAGAACCACCGTCCGGCGGGCGATGGACCGATGGCATCTGCCCGGGCCGGGACCCAGGGCGGAGGCGATCAAGGGGGCGGGGGGGTCATGAGTCTTGTGGTTGGTAGAGAAAAAAACTATGTTTATCGCCACAAGAATGCTGTGGGGAAGGCGTGTCCGTGACAGATCGCGTACAGAGAAAACATACCTCAAATTTGGGCAGTTTAGCTGAGAATATCGAAGGGTTGTAGGCGCTTCCTGGCCCGCGTTACGAGAACTTGTTGCCCACTCTTGAGTGCTCCAGCACTTTTTGTTAACATTTCCAGTCTGTGCTTACTCCGCGCCCCTCGCAATGAATGGTCTTGACCTAGCTGGCTGCATTTCCACGCAACAACACCTCGAGGTAGTCTCGCCCCCCAACTTCCAAACAGTTAGGCCGTTGATCATTCGCCAAAACATTCCCACGATGTGCGGCACTTGCCTGATTCCAAGCCCTGTTCATGACCAGCAACCCCTCTGACTCGAGATGTTTTTTCGCCATTCGGCCGAGGATCTGGCCGCACCTGGAAAAATTAAAACAGTCATGACGCGATTTTGCCCTCGGTTTGTTATATCTGGCTGTGCGCATCGTGCGGCGCAATCCTTCTTCTTAGCTGTAGTTGGTTGGCAGCGCTGCACCGGTGTCTTATCTCCGATGCTGAGCATAAAGCACAATTGGAGGGTTGGTGGTGTAGGATGTATCCTACGTTGCGTCGAGAGACGGAGGCTACAATCAACAGACACCCATGCAGATGAGTCCTTGTGCCACGCAGAATTTCCTGGTGTGGCCGACCAGGTCATGAGAGCGCTCACCTGTCGTACACATCCATTACCTCGCGCTCGCACTTCACCGTGTTCCTGATATTTTGGCAGAAAACGAGAGGCATTTCGCTTAGAAAAAGGTATCTTGGTATATCACCAGAACCATATCACGGGGGCTGTTGTAACATGGCTGGTGGGGTACACCATGTGTCTCAACCGACTCCTTGTATAAAAAACACGGTGCGCACGTACCGTTGTTGGTTGATCTAGCTCCCAAGAGGGAGGCTGTGAAGCACGAAAGAACTCATTATATATCCGCTCCGCCGTGGATTATCAAGCCCAACCAACCGAATCAAGCCGCAATTCTTGTTTTTCACTCTGGGATAGATTTATAGTACAAACAATGGAACCGCCCAGCGACAGTGGCACCCTCTTTTGCGTCTCGCGCGCAGAAAAACTCGGAATCTAGTACATTGGTAGATGTGCATCGAAGAAGAAAGGCGACATTCTCACCGGGCTTGCTCATCGAAGAACTCGTCCAGCGTGTATGTGGCCGTCGCGCCCTTCTTTGCCGTCACGAAGCATAAAGACGGCACCCGTTCAAGTTGCACCACGATCTCTTGGATAGCAGAGCTAATTCACCACGTACCGTGTAGCACCGGCCAGAGTTTACCCCAACAAGAAATCGATTGGCAAGATGTCGACGTCAAAACGAAGTGGGTGACAGGAATGAAACTCGGATGGGAGGTAGAAGACACGACCCGACGGGTAGATGACAAATAGCTTGGGACATATATTGACGTTCTCTCTGCTGGGTATCTTTGCTGAAAGACATGGTGAGCCGAGGATCCCCGCGTTGTCGTAGCGAAGAAGGACTACAGCTTACTTCTGTCTACCAGAGATAGATATATACAGGTGAACATCTCGAATAGACTCACACTGCTGTCGCCACTTTTATTGTTGTACTCTGAGGTTTGCTCCGAACTTGCCTTTGTATATATGTGCTTACGTGCGGTTCATAGAGCAAAGGCGGCAGCAGACACCATGTACGTTGGTTCTACAAGAACACTCGACGATGCTAACGGCGTCAACCTCCACGCACACCGTGCCCGAGTCCTACACTTTGGCGTGCGCGGCCGTGGACGCACCTGTACACAGCGTCGAGGGTAATGAGACCTGTTTCGACACCATCCTTGAGCTGGTTCACCCGCTTCCTTCCGACAAACGTTGTGATAGCTCGAATATATTTCCAAGCGGGGTAGCTGCGGAAAGAGAGTGGCGTTCCGCCGGGATGTTCCGAAGCAAGGGGATGCCATAAGGCCGACATTCATCGGTGTGTCCACAGAAATATCGACGGTAGGCATGATGGTAGTGATGGAAAATGATACATATTCCACGTCCACCTCTTTGTAGGGATCACGAGCTACAACAGTGATATGGTAGAAATTCTAGGGAGCAGAACGCTGGCTTCAGCTTTGCTCGAGATATGAGCCCGAATTCTGCACGTATCCACCCAACCCCTTGAGCTCCGGGCGTGCTCTGTTCACGAGGGGTTTCTACACGCGACCAGCTGTTCGACACCACGTTCCGGTAATAAACGTTACCTGCGTACAAATCTCATCCGACTCAAGGTGTCAAATCGCTCCTTTTCCTTGCTCCATTGGTTCAGAGACTGAAAGGTCGTCTCGCCGTGAACGTTGACGTACGTGACCCCGTCCGAGCAAATGTACGCCCTCTCGATATCTCTGCAGTCGTCCTGCCCTTGTTTTTCCTCCAGCCCCAAGGCTGTTCCCGGAGAACCCCGCTGTTCCGCGCTTCTCCGCCGGCGATTACCTTGAGGAGGGCAGGATGCCTTTTGCACTCGTGGCAATGTTTCTCCAGTTGAATCTTCGTTGCTCGAGTTGCCAGAAGTCTCTCCGTCATCGTCGGGCATGCCTTCCAAATCGTCCCCCCGTCCTGCTCCCAGACCCCCGTCTACCTCCCGGCTCACAATCCGCAGGTGATATGGGTTGTACCGACGGGAGGGGTCGTCCGCGTGGATGGGAACCGCGACAAGTGAGATCGTTGCTTTAGGAATCAGCAGAGGTGGGCGCTGTGAAGAGTGCGTGCCCCCTGTCTCTTGAGCGGGAAAATTCGCTGCGGCTGCTGCCAGTGAAGCTGCTGTTGCGCTTGACGCCGCCTCCGCCTCTGCTGCCGCGGCCGCCGAAGCGAGGAAGCAGGCGATTTCGCGGTCTCCCGCGAACTCGTCTTTTCCAAACAGTGTGCGAGCCAGGTTGTCATTTGCTAGTCCGTGTCTTCCGTGGGCGGCAGAGACACTTCCTTGCCCCCATAGAATTTCCAAGAGGTCGGCAGGGTCCTGGTTGTTAAGTCGGGGCAAGAGATGGGAGAGAAACGGTGGTCCATTGGCCACTAACTGGCCCGTTCCAGGTGTACGTCTGTCATTGAGTGGGTTGGGGCTGTCATCATGTCGCCGATTGTTGTTTATGGTGTACACCTAAGGACTCTGAGCGCGAGTGCTGTTCTCATGCACAATGTACAACGACAGGCATTGAACCCAACGTCTGCGCCAGGATTGGCGATTGGATACTAAATCCTGACGCGGCCTTACGAAGTGACAAATGATACCGAGAATTTAGTGTACACATGCAACGCCGGCCCACACGTCCAGCCGATCGCATCCAACTAACCTTGCTTGTACCGTGCTGTCCACTCTTAGCGTCTGATGGCGCCCAACGCTGTTCGCATCGGGCATTCGATGAGTAAGCTGTTGGAGGATCGTGCCAAGAGCCGCCGCCAAAATAGCTGTCTTGGGTCGTATGCGGTCTGGGGGAGAGGCTGTATGCCCAATCTGCCTCGTTGTCTTGACTGACGGCTCTCCATTCAGCTGCAAAGGCGGTAGAGGGAGTTGAGGTTCTGGCTCTTCCTCGCGGACTTAGAAGTACGGTGGACGAGAGTACCACCGTCGCGCCTCGGTCTTGCCTGCCCGCCGATTGACAGTCTCCTTCTGCAGGATGATAGTCTGCCGCATTCTGGGGCGTGGAGAAGAACGGGTTGGTGACCAGCTCGTTGTCGGCTGTGTACGCCCCTTTCTGCCCTACCACTGTAGTGCCTTGGTCCAACCTGGGCTCCTCGCAACGGACGACCCGACCATAGTCTTCTTGATCGTCGGCTTCTTGATTTCCCTCGCCGGTTGGACTCGACGTCTCTCTCCTTCGAAGTGTCCGTTGCCCAACATCGGAGTACGACAGCGGGGTCCTTTCCTTCTCGACGGTCGGCCGGAGCGGGTATATTTGCGAAGGTTGAAGTGGTCCCAGTGTTTCGCTGCGGCAGTGGATCTCAAGTCCAGCTGTTGGCAGAACCTCATAATCGTCCTGGTGATCGATGCTCTCGCCCGCGTTTGCATCCCTGGTGCCTGCTGCGGTCGGCGGCGCGGACGACGACTTGATCCGCCGGCCACCAGAGTACGTTGAGTCCCTTAGCAGCTGCGGCTTGCCTGCCTGGTGCCGTTGATCCGAAGCCGTGCCAGGGCGCCGAGGGTACGTAGCCATAGGCGCTCGAACGCCAGCGTACTGCCCTTGTTTCGCCAACGAAGGGCGTAGCGAGACCGCTGCAAGGCCGTCCGCGCCTGGGGGGAGCTTCGGTACTTCCCTGGACCGCTGCTCAAGTGTAGGACCTGTCATGCGCTCACTGCATTGCCGCTGCTTTGGTTTCATCCTCCTTCTGAGGGCTCGTTTTGCTTTGCGGCCGTTCTTCAACTGACTCGGTGTGCCCCACATTGTTGATATCTTTGTGTCGCCATCGCCGTCCAAAGACGGACACCCAGCACTCAAAGGAGGGTTGAAAACATCCATGCTTTCACCACTATACCACTATCGTTTTCGACAAGTCGCTGCGCGTGGGCCTTTGCAAGCGCTAAGGCGTGCACGGAACGAAAGCGATGCGAACAACATGCAGGCCGTCTAGCCTGTGCATCATGACGTTCGCGAAGTTTGCACAAGATCTTTCGTTTTTTTGGCTTGGGGCAAAAAATGCGGCGTAACCCGCCCGAAGCCAACCCCCTTGCAAGCTGCAAGCTGTTGTGCCCCCGGCAGTCGGCTGGTTGGCTGTTCAACTGCTGGGTGCAAAAGTTGTGTGAGCTGTGTTGCAAGTCTGCCGTGGGTTCACCTTCGGGCGGGGCATCCCTCGCAGCCTCGAAGCTACTTGGCAAACTTCGTTTGCCCGAAGGACTCTCCTGCTGGACGCATGCGTACTTCTAATGGAAGGCCGGCTGAAGCAGAAGCTGCAGGGCGAACATGGGTGAGAGGGCAGCAACAACAATGTCTCCGTCCACTTGAGCAACGACCTACATACCTGCGATGCACACGCTCCTCCCTTTTCCCAAGCGTGCCGCCACTGCCTCAGCACAACCCTCGTGTTGGAGCTAACGGATATGTGGAGTTTTTCCACATAGTGTTGTATGCATAAACCCATATAACCCTCCCCAATGAACGCGCGCTATGCAGGGTATTGTGCTGGAAAAGTAGGGAATTTGTTCTTGGATCTCGGCACCGGTCTCTCGAGATAACGGACGACAGATACGATAGATACGGACCGAATGAAAATGATCCATCTGATGGCGGGCCCGGTGATGGTGGCGCTAGAACATCTGTGACACATGTGAGTACGATTGTGGCAGCAAGAAGCCAGTGATTTCCTGTTTGAAGGGGCCGGAGCGTTCACGCAGGATTTCACGTAGTGTACACATATCCCGATGCTGTTTAGGATAGTACGGTGGCGTGTATTGTTGAGCTCACTGCATGTTCTTTGCACGGATTACACACACACCACTGATATCACAGCCATCCTTCAGCAGAAACCACCTACACACAGAGAAGTCAGTCTTCAACGGCAACCACCTCGTGCCCTCACGAGGAGCTCATTTTTCACGGCTGCGTCGTCCCTCTTGTGAACGCACCAAAAGGTGTCGTTAGAAGGCGCGCGGCACGCGGCGGCCTGGAGCGGAATCGACGCCTTCAACGGGTGCGGCTTCGACCTCGTCTGGGCTAGCGGCCGCACGTGGTCGCTGCTGTGCGACGATCCCTTCAGCAGGAAGTCATGGGTGGGATTTTGTCTTGAAAGGAAGCAAACTTGTGGTAAAACACCGTAGGTTGCTTTGGATACCACACACCCCGGACCGATTTTTCAAGGCTCGATTGCTCCAGGATGCCACGAATCAAATGGCCACGCTTTCGGAAATCCCTCGAAAAGACGGTTCTAACGCCGACAGCGGCACCATGACTGATTCATGGTATCTTAGGCAGCGTATGGTAAACCAGTGATTTCATCATGGCCCGGTGGGTGTTGGCCTTTCATACTCAGTAGCTCGACGACATACAGAGGGGTCCCGTAATAGTGCCGGTTGTGCCCGGAATATTCACCCGCACTACACTGGGACCGACACTATTCAAAGTACTGACAATGACTTGAAAATTCAGCATGTGCCCGCCGAAAACACCGACACTGTACCGGACATTGGCACTACTCAACCGGCACTACACAAGGACCCCCTCTGTACTCTTCTTGCTTTGGCCATCGGCTGCTGGCTTCTTGCGTACTGTACAGCTATTGTAGCGCCCGCACTCAAGAACCTATACAATAGCCGAGGCTGAGGTTCTTATTGCTCAGGGTCAGGCTACGATGGCTGCGTTATAGATTTTAGTGTAAGGGGTTCTTCACCGTGCTCACAGATGGTCCTAATATTCTAATGTCTTGATACAATATTGAGCATGAACTTAGCTGCCAAGTTTCTCTATCTGAATAAGAACACAAATGCATGCAGCTCCGCAGCCGCAAGTGGAGTCAACTTTTGGACAGCTGCATGCCAACAAGCTTTGCTGATGTTCTGTTCGGCAAGGCGTAGCTCGATTTCTGAGTGACTACACACCCGGTGACCTCGATTCACAAGGATCATCTTGTCCTCGATTCCGATCTAAGTGATCGGTCCTGTGGGAACAATGCTCCGTCGTCTCAAGGACATGTGGTCTAACAGCTAGCTAAGGCATGAAAAACATGAGTCACCCCCCCGCGCGCGACGCTATTCGGTATTTCCTCAGGTGGATGCCCTCAACCTGGCCATCAGATCCACAGCAAACACAACGGGCGATATAGACGCCATCGCTTCGGGGGCAGGTCAGCGAAACGTCCCGGCCAGAGGTCCTCAACGCGGCCGCACTTCGAGCACGACAGCCACTCGTCGTCGGCACCCTCCCGACGTCGTCCGCCCCCACTCTCCTCCGGCGGCGGGAGAACAAAGCTCTCGATTTCCGAGATATTCCTCCGTCAGGCCGAGCGCCCAGAACACCGGCCACCCCTCTCCTCAATCACGGGGAACGAGGGGAAGCCATAGATATGGCGACCGCTGGTCCTGCGAGGACCGGACGCCGCCCGGCGATGGAGCCGTCGTCGGCGCGTTGGTCCATGACGCCATCGCTCCCACGGAAGGCGAGCGGCATAACCACCAGAGGCGGAAAGGGGCAAGTCGCACCGCCGAGCAGCACGACGAAGCGTATCCGTCCGATGTGTCGGGGCCAGCAGAGAAGGGGGTCTTCTCGCCGTCCCTGACCTGCGACGGTGCCGGTGCAAGAGGCAGCGACGAGGGCAGCGGCGGGGGCGGGACCGTCGGGAGCATGGACAGCAGCGGCGGTGGCAGGGGAAGAGGGAGGAGCATTGCCACGGAGAGGAGCGAGGAGTTGGCGAGGGCGAGCGCCGCCACCTGGGAGCACTTTCAGCAGCTGCTGGAGAGGTCTCGCGAGTCAAAGGCCCGCTTCGACAAGGCGATGGATGGAACCGCAGCGGGGGTCGCCTCCTCCGCCACGACGAGCAGCGGCAGCCTGAGCGCTTCGGCCGTGTCGGCGCCGTCGTCTTCGTCGAGTCAGACCGGCGACAGGAAAGCCGGTGCAGGCGTGGGTGTTGCTGGACGCAAAACAAGGGCCGGAGTACCGCCGGTGGGTTTCGAACCGATGGAACCGCCTAGAGTTCCCAAGGTCGAAGCGGCGGCGGTGGAAGAAGCTGGTACAGCCCGGCGTAACGGCAGTATGGCGACCAGCGTGGGGGGCTCATCAACCGACCGCGTGTCAGACGTCTCGACACCACGATCGCGTCCCACCAGGGCCCGTAGCGCTGGGGGAAGATGGCGCGGTGGCGATGGCGGAGGAGGAGATGACAGAAGATCACGCGCTGCCGCCAATAGCAACACGACTCGCTGTGCTTCTCGTGCAGCGAAAAACGTCACCGCGGATGGCGTTTCTTGCGAAGATGGCGGCTACTGCACGGCGGACTCCGGCGTCGACGCGGACGTGGATGCCCCCGCCCCCCCCTCCGACCACGAACACGAACGAAGCCGCCTCTCGGCGGCAGTGACGGACGTGGAGACCAGCCTGCTGCTGGAAGAAATTTCTGGGGAAGAATCCCCCTCCGTCAGGCGAGACGGTCGGTCGGCGACCAAAGGCAGCAGCAGAAGCAGCAGCAACGGCAGCAACGGCGGCGGCGGCGGCGGCGGCGGCGGCCAGATCGCCAGGAGAATGGAGGCTGCGACCACTACTACCGCCACCGCCGTCAACGATCGCGTCCGGCGGCTCGAGGTGGACCTGGCGACAGCGCGTCAAGAAGCCACGGCCGAGGCAGCCACCGCCGCAGCGGCAGCAGCAGCGCGGACGGTAAGGGACGACAGCCTCCGGCAAAAGCCACCGTCGGCGGTGGTGTACCCTGACGGTGGCGACGGCGGCGGCGGCGACGGTGACTCAGAGTGTGAGCGGCTGAGGAAAGAGCTAACAGCCTTGAGAGCAACGGTGTCGGAAGAGCGGGAGCAGAGGCGGGAAACGGCGAACCCGGTGGCGGCGGCAAAGGCGGCTGCGGCGGCTGAGCGGGAAAGGGACCAGGAGGAGGCGGCGGCAAAGGCGGCTGCGGCTGCTGCTGCGGCCGCAACGCAGAGTCAAGCGGAATCGAGGCTGGAAGAGGCGCTGGCGAAGGCGGCGAAGGCCGAGAGAGAGCGCGCCGAGGCCGTGCGGCAGAGGGAGGAGCTGGAGAAAGCTCTCGCTGGGGTAAGGGCGTACTATTACTTCTACTTCTTCGGTTTCTTTTTGGGTCCTTTGCCACCACCTCTTTTTTGTTTTCGGATCTTGTGTCTGCGTTCCCCCTTGCCTGTCTTTGCCGGGAGTGATGCAGCTTACCACATGGTCGAAACGATGGATGGTCTCCGTGGTGTTCTTAATGTCGGAAAAGTCAACACCACCCTCACCATACCAATAGCACGATCCAGAACACATCAACCTGAGGCGTACTACAATAGGTGAGAGTTAGCGTTAGGAATAAGGTATGAAACCTAGTGAACGTGCAACCACCCTGGGTAAGGGCTGCCGAGTTTTGCTATGTCAGCCATTGCTTTCTTTCGATTAAACCGTAAGGCCGCCTCCTTTGGCCTGTCGACCACAGACCAGCACGAAACTCGGCCACCGCGTGTGCTCCCTGACGGAGCGATGAGCGAGTCTCTGTCTCATCGCTGGAGCGCGTCTACAACGAGACTAACCGTTCCAGCAGTACGCACCAACTGTTGCGTTCTTGCGCCGCCTACTATCGATGGTATTTTTGGTTTCTGGCTTCCTTGCGAAAAATTGCTAAAACTCCACCTCCATCAGTAGGTAGTAGAACCCACGCTTGTGTTGTGCTGACAATTAACCTCTGGAGGTGAGACTTTCCGTGGTTCATTGTGTTGCATGACTTGCCTGCGCCTCTCGCGCGCAACATGTAGAAGTGAATATTGTGCGGATAACAGACTCAACCATGGGTCGCTTACTCTTTCTGCGGTCGGCGCAACATGCACGGACCCTCGTTTTTCGGACAGTTGGCCTGTGGCCACGGAATGTTCGATTGGAACGAGTGCGGATGTTGGAAGGGGCTGGGCATGTAAACAGTGGGACTGCTTCGTATGTGGTGAAAGTAACAGCAACAGCTCGGATGTCCATGTAAATTCAGAGGAACAAGAAAGAGCTCGCAGAACAACAATAAAGGCACCGTGCCCATCGTGCGCACCCGCACAAACAACAACAACAACAACAACAACAAACGACACAAAATGCAGGAGGTCGGCGAAAGGCGCCGAGTGACCAACCTCTTGGAAGCGCGCTCTAGGTCGGAAAGTGCGCTTCGCGAGCGCCTGGAGGCCACGGCGGCGGAGGGCGACCTCAAGGCTCGCCTCGCGTCGACGCGATCCCAATTGGAGGCGGTTTCTCTGGAGAGGGATGCCTTGGTAAGTGTGAGGCGTGTGCGTGCTTTCTGATTCACAGTTCGTGTCCGTTCTTGTGGGAAGTTGCGCCAGCATGGGTCGTTGATTGGGGGGGGGGGGGGGGGGGAGCACGAGGCGGTGCAGGGAACAACCTACATGGCGGGGCAAGTCGCACAGCTGCTCTGTGAGAGACCCTTTGTTTGGATTGTGCTTTGCAGGTCAGTTCTCCGTGTTCAACCGCCGGATCAATGCATTCGTAGGCGATTCTCTTTTTGAGTGCCCTTGTTTTTGTGGTTGGCCGTAGTTCGCTGACTCTTTGTATTGGTCTGGTACTCTTTTCACTTTATATCGATCCTCTCTTTTGTCTAACTCTCTCTGTCTCCCACTCTCTCTATTTCTCCCTCTCTCTCTCTCTCTCTCTTCCAAACTCGCTCTTTTCTAAGGCCGAGGAGCTTGACCAGTGCATTAGCCGTCTGGGCGACCAAGCTAGAGAAGTGACGTCAGCGCTGAGGTCGAAGCAGCAAAGAGAAATCGCGGAAATTTCTTCTAGGTTGGTTTGTTATCCCATCCCGCTCGCCGGGTCTAAGGTTGTTCGGACCCAAAGGCTGTCGTAGGCAGTAGTAGGACGTCGTTGCAGTTGCTACGATAAATTGATGTACTTGCTGCTACAGCTGCTGCTGGAGTTGTGGTGGATGCGATTGTTGGTGTTGCTGGTGATCCTGGCAGCAGAATGCGCTGAGGAAGTTTTCACATTGAAATCGGTCTGATGAAATGCCCATCAAAAATGACGAAACTCCCTGGAGAGAGAGAGAGTGTGTGTCTGTGTGTGTGTTTTTTTTTCCCTCGTCTTCTCGATTGTGTCATGCGACTTTCTCTCGCTTATGCATCTGCATTTGCCAAATACACAGATAAAGAAACAAGTGCACTCGTTTTTACCCTTGTTGCCACATTTTTTCTTCTTGGCGCAACGGCCGTATGGTCTCCGCGTTCCCCACCTCGGCGCGCGCGGGGGAGGGGGGTCATGCAGATGCGAGATCGAGAAGGAAGCGCTGCGTGAGCAGCTAATGCTAGAAGCGGCGGAGAAGGCTAGGGAAGAGACGAGGGTCACCCTGTCGGCGCAGGAGAGGAGGATAAGGGGGGAAGTGGCGGCCAAGGCCGCGAAGGACGCCAAGCGGAGGGACAAGCAGGTGCGCGAGCTGGCCCGCGAGGGGGGGGTACTCATAGCCACCGGGGGATAGAGGAATCGAGACGTCGGTTTGCTGGGAGCACATTGTGTGAGAACCCTCAGGCTTGTTGTTGTTGCTGCTGTTGCTGCTGTTGCTGTTGTTGTTGCTGCTGCTGCTGATGATGATGGTGGTGGTGATGATGGTGCTGTTGCTGTTGTTGTTGCGCTGCTGCTGCTGCTGTTGGTGGTGGTGGTGGTGACGCTGTTTGTTGCTGCTGCTGCTGCTGCTGCTGCTGCTGCTGCTGGCGGTGTTGTTGTTGTTGTTGTTGTTGTTGTTGCTGCTGATGATGACGATGATTATGGTGGTGGTGATGGCGCTGTTGTTGTTGTTGTTGCTGCCGTTGTCGTCTTCGCGTTTGGAGCCGTTCGGCCCGTGTGACCCTGTACCTCACCCTTCGTACTTCGTGCTTGTCGGCGTCGCTGTTGCCATGGGTACAGCACTGTACTGCTGCTGTGCCAGTGGTAGGTGTGGATGTCGTTGACGTTGTTGCTGTCACTATTACGGGAGTAAAGAACCGTTCCGACCACCTACAATAGCACCCCCT